CGAGCTACGCCGAGCTGCCCTCCTGGCATGAAAAAAGAGGTGAGCCCTGAGGAGGAGTGCACCAGAGGACCGCTGGTCTCTGCCTGTCACAGCCACCTGGGAAGGGAGGCTTGGGCAGGGCCTGCAAAGCCAGGCACGAGGCAAGGATGGTGATGGCAGTCCAGGGTTCCTGCTGCTTGCAGCAGGACCCATGAGTGGTTCAGTGCCCCAGAAGCTGGCTGGGATGAGAGCAGTGAGTCAGCAGGGTTTGGGGGCGGTCAGCTGTGCTGATGTACAGCCTGCAACAGTGTGCCAGATATGGTGGACCAAGTTACGTGTGTCCTGGATCAGGTGGAGAAACCTACTGTGCTCTTCCCAGCTCCTGACCTCCATGAGCCAGTGTCTGAGCCTGGACCCCCTGAGCTTCAGCGTCTGGAGGCAGCTGTACACCAAACACCTCTCCCAGTCCAGGTCCGTTCATGCTCTGAGCAGGGCCAGCAACAACCTGCTGGCATTCAGGAGCATATGAAATTGTTTTTCAATGCTCCTGACTGAGCCCTGGGTTTTCTTTCCCCCCATAGTTTGCTTCTGAACCATCTGCTGGAGTCCTGGGACAGCAGCAGCCAAAAGGTAGGATTGAGCTGTGTCAGAGGAGTTGCCTGGGGTGGGGAGAGAATGTGCCTGTGCTGCTGCAGGAGATCCCTGCACCAGCAGTGTCCCCATGGGACCTGCGTGTGCCCACCCAGGACTGCTCCAGCAGCTAAGTGGGTTGGCTGGTGTGGGGGCGTGTGCCCACCCAGCACTTGCTCCAGGAACAAGGTGATGTGCCATCCACAGGCGGGTATTTATTGCCCCTTTCCCTCCACTTCCTGTCTGGGTTCAGATATTCCAGATACAGCCCTGTTAGGCCTCACTGTTCTGGTGCTTTGAGGAGCAGGGAGGTCACACTGGCTGCAGCTTAGCATCTCCCAGAGGAGCAGCACAGCTGCAGCCCCTGTGGTGCCGCCGGCTCAGTGTGAGTGGGGCCGTGACGCAGCCCTTGCTCTCCCCAAGGTGCGACAGTCACTGGAGGAGACGGTTCGCTCGTTCAAAGTAACGAATGAGGAGCTGGCGCCGAGAGGGGCCAGCAGTGACCAGGACGTGGCCGCCTGTGATGCTGCCTGCAAGGTGAGGGATGGGATGGGTGTCAGCCAGAGGCCAGATTTCGGCTCTGTGCTGGGATTGTGGTTGGCCTTTCCTCCTGCCAGCACACGCCAGGCCAGGGCCCCCGCAGCGATGCATGCGCAGGATACGGCAGGGACAGACGGTGCTGGCCCTGGTCCATCCTCCCAGCTGCTCAGCAGATGACACTGGTTTCCACTGGGAAGCCGGGGGTGGGTGGTGAGAGCAGCAGCGAGTGTGGCAGTGCTGCTGGGGGGAAATGTGGCTTCGCAAGAGCCTCCCTGGCCTTGGTAGCTACGTGCTGATGGGGTCTCATCCTCTCCCTGCCCAGGAGCTGCTGCACAAGATGAAGGGCAGGGGCTTCCCTTGGTCACGACTGCTGCTCATCCTCCTGGTCTTCGCGGCTGGCTTCCTCCTGCACGATGTCCGGATGCACGGCTCCTTCCAGGGTAAGGCTGTGGCTCTCCTCCATGTGGAGGAGTGTCCCTGGGGAGCGAAACTTGAACTTTCTCTCGAGTGAAGCCTCTCCACAGCCTGATCATCATCCCACGTCTATGCTGTTGGCTGCCCTTGAGCCACGTGGCCCCATTGCTCTTTGAATGGGGTGGGCTGTTTTGATCCAGACATTCTCATCAGGCTGTAGAAATACATCTCCCTGCATGTCCCTTCTCAGGAGGGTTTTTCCCAGGGCTGCTCTGAGCCAGGTTTTCTCTCCATTTGGGAGTTTCTGCCCCTCTTCATCCCATCTTTGAGCATCTTGAGACCTATTGTAACGTAGTTGAAGTTGTGTGTCCCCAGAGAGAGGCCTTGGGGATAGATAGCATGCCGCTCCAGGCTGAAGGGTTGCTGAGGGAATATCTCTTGTCTCCTCCAGCCTCCTCTTCTGCTCGCCTGCTCCGTTCCTCTGGTATCCTGCCAGTCTTGCAGCAAGCCTGGCAGAAGGTCTCCTACTGCTGCCTCGAGGGTTACAGGTCAGTGGCACTGGTGCCACATGGCAGTGTGTGTGTCTGGTGGGTGTGAGGCTGTTGACACAGCACAGAATGGTCCCTGTGGGAGGTGATTCCACACAGCTCTTGAGCTCTCCTTTTTCCTTGGCCTGTGGCAGCAGCTCCAGGCACCCATGTGCCCCTGTGGCTCTGCCAGTGGTGCTGGAGCCACTGGCGCTGCCGTCATTCAGTGCTCGATGCTGTCTTACAGGTGGCTGGAGCGGACCCTGCCTGTTTATGGCTCCCAGGCAGCTGCTGTCCTGCAGCCACAACTGAAGCTGCTCTGGACGAAGAGCTGTGAGGCGGCACAGTACACGTATGAGCAGTGCTCCTGCTTGCTCTCCTGGCTCCACCACAGCATGCCCTGCATCGTGGAGTGGGTAAGGGTATTGCAGCAGCTGGAAGGGATGAAGAATGCCCATGTGGCTGCAGCCTGCAGGGGCTGGTGAGGCTGAAGAGCCTGTGTAGGGGACAGGAGGTGGGGGGAGAGGCCCAAATGAGGAACCATAAAATGGTTTGAGTAGGAAGGGACCTTAAAGCTTATCCAGTTCCAAACCCTGCCATGGGCAGGGACACCTTCCACTAGACCAGGTTGCTCCAAGCCCTGTCCAACCTGGCCTTGAACACTGCCAGGGATGGGGCAGCTGCAACTTCTCTGGGCAACCTGTGCCAGGGCCTCACCACCCTCCCAGGGAAGAACTTCTTCCTAATACCTCATCTAAATCTCCCCTTTGTCACTTTAAATCTATTACCCCTTGGCTTATCCATACAGACCCTTGCAAAAAGGCATATTATGTTCCTACAAATCCAGAACTCTTACCCAGCCCACACAGGAAGTAGCTCAGCAGAGCACAGCTCTCACCCCTCAGTCTGCATACTCAAGAGGTGCATTCTGTGACCTCCCTACCACTGCTGCAAGCATCACATCTCATTGCCAGCCCCATTTTTCTTCACAATGTTCCTTTTGAAGGATTTTTGTAGTTCCTTCCACTGTGACCCCTCTGTGGTGCCACACACCACCTCACAACCCAGGCTGTGAGGGCAGTGCTGTTTGTCACCTACATCATCCTGACCGATTCCTGACAAGACACCCAGCACCCTCAGTGGGAAAGGGAAACCATTACAGCAACATCTCTGTCAACACTGCTGTCCATCAGCTGGCTGTGAGCCCACTGGTGGGGGTGGCTGTGGGGTGAGGGTGACCTGAGCACTGCTGCCCTGCAAAGGAGGTCTCAAAGGTAACTCACCAGCTCCCTGAATATCAGCAGTTTGGTGGAAGGGGAGTCACTTTGGCACCCACAGAGCATAGGTAGCTGCAGTCCAACTGGTCAGGGGTTAGCTCAGTTCAACACCTCCTGATCGGTGTTGAACCCACACTGATCTCTCTGCTCCCGCAGCTCCAGTCCCGGCTCCCAGAGTCCCTGCTGCACTTTGCTGAGTGTGTCAGAGAGCTGCTGCTCTTCCTGGTGCAGAGCTGCCTGCTGCCGCTGCTGGAATGCGTGGCTGCAGCGCTGGAGCGGGGCTGGAAGTCCTGTGTCGACTCCTGCAAGTGAGCATCCCTGCCCCTCTGCTCCCCCCCCCCGGGACACCCCATGGGGTGGCCAGTATGGTCCCTGCTATGACAGCAGGGGCTTTCTAGGTCCAGGTGGGGGGTGGCTCCTCATATGGATCTGTTGAAGAGTCTGGGATATGCCACTGTGTCGAGGGGTTCCTGTACCCATCCTGTGCTTGTGATGATGAGGCTGGGTCACCACTGCTGCCTGTAACTTGTTCTCCTTGCTTTTCCAGTGGAGAAGTGTCATGGGACTGTGTGAGGGAACACCTGATGCGTTTTACCTATTCTTCTTGGATTTATCTGCAAAACACAACTGTAGCCATCAAAAACTGGGCCTTGGCTATGATTTCTGGACACTGATCCAATACCTGGAGGAGCAGCGATACGGTCGTGTTGTCTCCTTGCCACCAAGGAGAACAGATGCACCAAGAAGTATCTCCAGTGCAGCTTGGTTGGCTGTGGGATGGAGAGGCCAAAGGCAATGCACCTGTGGACTTTGGACTCAAATCAGGGCTTACAGGCGAGGTTTTGTGGTGGTTTTTTTTCCTGGGGTGAGGAAACACCCCAGGAGGTTTTCCACGCTCTGTGAATTATCTCTGGTGTTTTTCCTGTCCCTTTCTCCAGGTCTTAGCATGGCAAGCGGCCCACACACCCCTGTACTTTACCTGCACCAAAGGATGGGGTGTGGATATCCCTCCCCCCCGCCCACTACCCACAGGTCAATGAACTGGACTGATTTCTATATTAGTTTTTTTCTTTTCATTTTAATTACTCCATGCCTGGTTTACTCCTCTCTGGGGCTACCCCTTCCCTGGCCCTGAGTCCTGGTTGGGGTGCTGGCGCAGCAGGAGAGATTTGGTGGGTTGCTGGTGTTGAGTTCAATACCCACCTCCGGCCAGTACAATGGGTCAGCAGTGTGTGTGTGTATGTTTTAGTACACACGTGTTTGTATGGATGTGTGTGTATATTTGTATATATACACGTGTGTGTATAGATCCGTGTGCGCGAGTGTACATAGAGATGTATGTGCCTGTGTCCATGTATGTGTACGTATTGGAGTTGTGCACGTGTATATGGGTGTGCTTGTGTGCGTACGTGTGCCTATGCATGTGTTCTTACGCACATGTGTGCATGTACACATGGTTTTATGTACATGTATGTATGTATGGGTGTGCGCATACACGTGTGTGCTACGCATGTGTGAGCACACGTGTGCAGACACAGACGTGCCCGCGACCTCCCAGCCTGGAGGCGTGGCTAGCGGTGGGGGTGTGGCCAGGACGGGGGCGCTGTCCAACGAGCGGGTGCGCTGTTGGGGGGCGGTGAGCCAATGGGCGGTGGCGTTGCTGTTGCTAGGCTGCGCGGCGGGCCGGGCTTGGGCCGTGGCGGGCCGGGCCGGGCCTGGGCCAGGCAGGACGGCGGGGCAAGGCGATGAGCGGGCTCGGCAGCCATGGAGATCCGCTGCGGGGGGCTGCTCTTCAGCTCCCGCTTCGACTCTGGCAATCTGGCTCGTGTCGAGCAGGTGGAGCCGCTCGGGGCGGGGGGCGGCCCCGCGGCCTGGGGCACCGCCCTCCCCGCCGCCGACTATGAGTTCAATGTGTGGCTGCAGCCTGACTGTGCCCAAACCGAGTACGAGAATGCTAACAGGTACCGGCGGGGCCGGGGGCTGAGGAGACAGGGGAGAAGGGCAGGCTGGCGGGGTTGAGGGCCCCAGGGGGCTGGTGCGGAGGAGGGGGAAGGCACTGACCGTGGAGCTGGAGGGGGGGGGTCTGGGAGCCTGTGCCCCGACCAGGGTCTGACGGGTTCCTGGCGTGCGGGGTGGCCGATGAGGGCCGGGGGTGTACGGTGGACTCAGGCACCCCAGGGCAGGGGCTGACCCCGCGGTGCCGCCCGCTGCAGGTCCTGGTTCTACTTCAGCGTGCGGGGGGGTGCTCCGGGGAAGGTGATCAAGCTGCACATCGTGAACATGAACAAGCAGAGCCGGCTGTACTCCCAGGGCATGTCCCCCTTCGTGCGGACCCTGCCGGTGCGGCCTCGCTGGGAGCGCATCCGGGAGCGGCCCAGCTTCGAGGTACGGGTGCTAGGGCTGGGGGATGTCCTGAGGGCCCTGAAGCTGGTAACAGGCAGTGAGAAGAACCTGGGTTTGAGGGGATCGCACTGGGGACACGGACATCTCTCGCTCACCAGTGACCTCCAGCCTGTGGCAGGGCAGAATGAGGTTGGGAGAGCTGTTTTGTACTTTGGCAGCCCCGTGGGAGAGGTTGGGGTTTGGGGATAGTGTCAGAGCCCCTTCCCAGGGCTGAGTACTCAGGAGAGGAGGAGCTGGGGGACCCCAGAACTGTGCTGGAAGCACTCCTGGTGCTTCCCTTCCCTTTTGTCAGCTCTTTGTGATGAGCTGTCGGGGTGTTGGTGCCCCTGTGAGAGGAATGGCTTGGGGATAGAGCCCAAGGAACTGCAGATAGCAGGAATAGCCATGACCACAGCTGATCCTTGCAGCCCTATTAAGCTGTTTAGGCCCAGAACAGGGGTTTGCTCGTTCTGGCACTTTCTGTCTGTGGTCTGGCAGGAGCTGCCCTGGGGAGAGTCACTTGTGGGTGCCCTGGGTCATCCCTGCACGATGCCTACTGCTGTGGGGGGCAACAACCCCCCTGGCATGCCTCCAGTTCTGTCCCATGGAACAGGGGCCAGAGAGTCTCCCATCCCTGCCAAAAGACCTGACAACGCTTGATTTGACCTGTGCCAGCACCAGGGAGAGATGCAATGTGCAGATGAGCTTTGCAGTTCTCATTAACTTTATGAAGTGTCCCACATTAGAGCGTTACTCAGTCTTTGAGGGCTGGTGGCTGCCAGGATTAAGAGGAATTCCTGGCTTGTCCCCAAAGGTTTTGTTGTCTCTTCAGGGACCTATGTGCAGTATGGGGGGGGAGTGTGCATGTGGGACCAAAAAGCTAGCCTGGCATGTGGGGGGATGTGAACAAAGCTGGCTGGGAGCATGGCTTTGCTTCCTGTGTGCCCAGAGAAGGGCAAGAAGCTGCAGGCATGGTGCGGCTGTGGGTGCATGGACTCAGCGGCTGCTCCTGGGGCTGCCGTGCCTTCGCTCAGCTCTGCTTTGTGTCCATCCCAGATGGTGGAGACGCAGTTTGTGCTGTCCTTCGTGCACCGCTTCCTGGAGCACCGCGGGGCCACCACCTACTTTGCCTTCTGCTACCCCTTCTCCTACACGGAGTGCCAGGAGATGCTGGCGCAGCTGGACAGCCGTTTCCAGGAGTGCCGGCACATGTCTCCTAGCAGGTGCGCTCTCCCTGCGCCTGGCCCTGTCCTGCTGGGCTGTGTCGCTGCTGCAGAAGCATGATGGTGTCCACCTCGAGGTCTCTGGGCCCCCCAACTCTCCCTGGCATCCACGTGGGCTTTGCTTCTCTGGACCCCAGCTCCACAGCTTCAGCAGCTTCCCCCAAGCATGTGCTTCCAAGGGGTTCCAGAGGGTCTTTGGGCCAGATCACACTGGCATTCCTAAGAGCAGGTATCCACCAGGTGGGAGAGGCTGAGGGGCAGCCCTTGGTTTGAGGAGAGGAGATTATCAGAAGTCAATATCTCAATTGCTTTCTCCCTCCTGGCTGCATGGAGATCCAGGCATCAGCTCCTGCTGCTCCCTTCCTCTGCAACTGCTGCACTGGGCTCTTTGTGGATTGGTCTAGGAAGCTCCCCTAGTCTCAGAAGTCCGAGGAGAGCTTAGTTCCGGCTGAGGGGTAGAGGGCAGAGCCAGTCTTCAGGTATCTCTGTGGAGAGCTTTCTTCTGCAGCCCCTCTTGGCCCTGGAGGCTTTCCAAACCTCCAGCAGCACCAGAATCATAATCCGTTTTCTTATACAGGAATTCATTCTTAAATTGTCATGTGGTAGTGAACGGTGAGAAGTTCAAAACCTGGCAGTCTTGACAGTGCTATTGCAGTGTCTGCAGGTCAAACTCACCTGCTGGAGTGAAGCCCCTGAGCCACTCAGGCTGGTGGCAGGGCTGGGTGATCCCCAACCAACCCCTGCTGCAGGAGGCCCCAGCTCCCTCAGCACGGCGGGATCTGCTGGAGTCCAGCTTGGGCTGTCAGCACTGCAAGGTGGGTCATGCTTCTGTTTGCATGCCATCATTGCATCCAAGCCCCAGGTCCAATGCTGGTCCTGGCTGTTTGTCTCGTGCTGAGGCTGTGGTGACCCTGTGCAGACCTTGCTGGGGCTGCCAAGGGCCAGGGGTTATCAATCAGGGGTTATTTCCCCACCTGACTGGTCTTGTGTTGTGACTGGGATGACCTGGTCAGTCCTGGTTGACTTGGGGGTGGTGAACCCTCAGGGAGCAGAGCAAGCACAGACACATGTGGTCCCAGAGAGGCAGCTAGAGGCAGAGTTTGGGCTGTAGGTGTGGAGAGCATCCACTGACCAGCTCCTTAAGGACACCACCAGCAACATCCCTAGCTGAGGCTCAGCACCCTGGCCCTTGCTCTCCAGCCCAGCAGCACACTCAGCTGCTCACTTCCCTGAAGGGGAGGCTCTGACCTGCACTGATCATCTCCCCTCACCCTACAGCCCCCTTGACTCTGTCTATTACCACCGGGAGCTGCTCTGCCATTCCCTGGACAAGCTGCGAGTAGACCTGCTCACCATCACCTCCTGCCACGGCATGCTGGAGAAACGGGAGCCCCGGCTGGATAAGCTCTTCCCAGATACCGCCACACCCCGGCCTCGCCGCTTCGCAGGGAAGAGGGTGAGCTGCTGCGCCAGCTTCAGGGCTGTGCTGGGGACGGTGTGTGGCCAGCAGCTCCCTGTGCTGGGAGCTTGCTGCCACCTTCAGGTGTCTGATGTGAAAGGTGGTGTGTCCTGAATGCTGGGTGGAGTGCAAAGAGTATTTTAATAGCTTTAAACTGACAGAGGGGAGATTTACATGAGCTCTTAGGCAGAAGTTCTTCCCTGTGAGGGTGGTGAGGCCCTGGCACAGGTTTCCCAGAGAAGCTGTGGCTGCCCCATCTCTGGCAGTGTTCAAGGCCAGGTTGGATGTGGCTTGGAGCAACCTGCTGTAGTGGAAGGTGTCCCTTCCCATGGTAGGGATTGGAACTGGATGAGCTTTAAGGTCCCTTCTAACCCAAACCACTCTGTGATTCAATGATTCTATGAGTAGGGAGTCTGTGAGATCCCATGTCAAGGCGCAGAAGCCTGCCAGGAGCATCTGCAGCATCTCAGCACCATGAAATGCCTTCTGGTAGCACCATGCGCCTGTTCCTCTGGGCAAAAATGAGCATCTCATTGTCTAGAGGTTTGCTCTGTTCTCCTTCTAGCTGTGTTGCTCCATTAAGCTATGAAGGAATTGATGGAAGTGCTGTGCATGTACTTGGGGTGTCAGCCCCCACTGCCGTGGCTGCGGCCTGTTTGCCAGGAACAGGACAAGCAGGGAGCTCCCTCTGATGCTGCACAGAGCTGGGATGGGCAGCCAGGAGGATGTGGGTGTATCCCTGCTGAGCAGCTCCTGCCAAGAGAAGGACTCTTCAGGATGTGCTTTGTGTTACCCTGCAGCCAGGCTTGTGCCCTGCTGTGCAGGATCACTCAGGGCTTTCCCCTGGGGGCTCATCTGTGCCTATGCTCTGGTTCCTCCTGGCAGCAGGCTGCAGGGCTCTGGCCCTTTGGTCTCATGCAGGGATATGCAGCCTTATTTCAAGCAGGACTTAGGAGAGGCACTGGGCAAAGAAGCCACTGAAAACTCTTGCATTGCCGTGCCAGTACTGAGCTGTCTACTCTATGTACAGGTCTTGGCTCCATCTCAGGCACCACAATGCCTGGCTGCAGACCAGGAGCTGCCCCAGGGAGTGATTGGCACCTTGGCAAAGCCATTGCAGCATCACTGCAGAGGCAGGAACCTGCTCCTCATTCCTCACCTGTCTGTTTACCCCCAGGTGTTTTTCTTGAGCAGCAGAGTCCACCCAGGAGAAACACCCTCCAGCTTCGTCTTCAACGGCTTCCTGGACTTTATCCTGCGTGAGGAGGACCCCCGTGCCCAGATGCTGAGGCGGATGTTCGTCTTTAAGCTCATTCCCATGCTGAACCCTGATGGGGTGGTGCGAGGCCACTATCGGTGAGTGAGCATGGGCCAGGGTCCAAGCTGGCCCATTCGCTCCTGTTTGGAGCCTGCTGTGTGTTTCATGGTGGCTGGGAAGAACAGGTCCACAATCCAGGCTCTCCCTGTTCCTCGCTGGGATCTCTGGTGAGGTCTTGGGGCTGCTGTTGCCTGTGTATGTCACCTCCCAGGTCAGGGCTTTCTTGCTTCAGGGAGCAGCACTGCCCTGTGCCTTTGAGGCACTGAGGTGCTGCCCTGTCCTGGCTGTCCTGGCATGTTGGAGCTGGGCTGGCTCCAGGGAGCAGGGAGATCACTCGGGGCTCTGTCTCACTGTGGCAGGTGCCCCTCCAGAAGAGAGGTTCTTGGCTGCTCTGGGGCAGAGTCTCTGCCCACTTGGCCAGGATAGAGCCCAAAGCGTCAGCCATTACCAACCCAGGGAGGTTGTGAATGCTCCATCCCTGGCAGTGTTCAAGACCAGGTTGGATGAGGCCTTGGGTGATATGGTTTAGTGTGAAGTGTCCCTGCCCACGGCAGGGGGGTTGGAACTTGATGATCTTAAGGTCCTTTCCAACCCTAACTATTCTATGATTCCAAGACAAGGTCAGTCTGCCTTCACAGAATGGATGGTGCTGCACAAAGGACCTTACATCTCCTCTGTTCTTGCAACAGAACTGACTCCCGTGGGGTAAACCTGAACCGCCAGTATCTCAACCCTGATGCCGAGCTGCACCCCGCAGTGTATGGAGCCAAAGCCATCCTCCTGTACCACCACGTTCACAGCCGTGTCCTACCAGGCTCTCCCGACTGGAGGACGTACATCTCCCCACTCGGTACCAGCTCATTAAGCACAAAATCCTACAACCATTCCATCCACAGCAGCACCCTGTCCTCACAGGCAGCCCTCTCGGAGCTGGAGAAAGCCAATAACCTCCACAACTCACCCAGGGCCTGGCGTGCCAGCATGTACTTCAGCCCCTCTCAGGAAGCCCAGCTCCCGGGAGTGCTGCCCTCCCACCAGGGCAGCAAAGACCCGGCTGTCTGGATTCTCTCTTCGAGCTGCACCTTAGAGCACTGTGAGGAGGAAGCCCAGAGGCCTCCAACACCTCTCCCTGAAGCCATCCCACCCCAGGACAGTGGGCTGGCCTACTACGTTGATCTCCACGGGCATGCCTCCAAGCGTGGCTGCTTCATGTATGGCAACAGTTTCAGTGATGAAAATGATCAGGTGAGGGCAGGAAATAAGAGTATGGAGGTGGCAGTGCAAGCTGGGACCCCCTCGCTGCCCTGCCCCGTTCCCAGTCTTCCGAACATTCCTCCCCACTGCTGGGAGGGGGGTGGGAGCTCCCTGTCAGGATAGGGCTGGTGCACCTCAGGCCTACTTTGCCTTCTGTGCCCAGGGGGTGGTGTGTAAGTGTGTGTACTGTTCTCCTCCTCCTCTTCCTCCTCTCCCAGGCCTGTGTCTGGAATGGCAGCAGCAGGTCATAGAATGACAGGTTGGAAGGGACCTCAAGGATTGTCTGGTCCGACCTTTCTAGGCAAAGCAGGACCTAGACTTGATGACCCAGCACCCTGTTTAGACAATCTTAACAGTGTCCAATGCTGGGGAATCCACCAGTTCCCTGGGGATATTATTCCAGGGGATGGTTTTACTCATTGTGCAAAATTGTCCTTTTGTATCTGGTCAGAATCTCTCTGTTAGTAACTTGTGCCCATCGCCCATTATCTTTCCCATGTGACTCCTTGTAAAAGGGGGATTCTCTCTTTTCTTTGTAGCCACCCTTTAAATATTGGAACATGGGGATAAGGTCTCCCCTCAACCTTCTTTTCTCCAGGCTGAACAAGCTCAGCTCTCTCAGCCTTTCCTCACGTGGCTGCCCAGTTCTCAGCTCATCTCTGTGGCCCTTCTCTGGAACTCTCCAGCACGTCCATATCTTGTTTTTTTGTACGGTGGGAATCAAAACTGGACATGATATTCCCAGTGGACAATGCTGAGTGGGACAGTGACATTTTTATTTCTACTGGTGATGTCCTTGTTGATGTTCCCCAGCATTCTGTTGGTTTTCTTTGCGGTGGCTGCACACTGTTCACCCCTTTTCCCAGGTGCAAGACTCTTGTCCTTGAACTCCATAAGGTTCTTCTTAGCCAACTCTTCCAGCCTGTCCAGGTCATCCTGCAAGGTGGCTCTCCCTTCCAAAGTGTCTACTTCCCCAGTCAGTTTGGGATCATTGGGAGGCTTCATCAGGGTACATTTGATCCCATTTTTCCAGATCTTTTATGAAGACACTGAGCAGCATCGGGCCCAGTATCTATCCCTGGGGGACCCCCCTGGTGACAGAGAAGGAGCTGTTTACCACCACCTTCGGGAAGCAGCCAGTCAGCCAGTTTCCACACAAGCACACAGAAACTTGGTTGGACCATAACATATTGGTTCTGGCTTTCACCCTGGGGAGCTAGCATGGACAGGACAGAGGAGCTGCCCCTTCCTCTCCTGTGGAAGAGCTATGCTGCCAGGCCCCTTGCTACCCATAAGCAGGTTGTGGGAGAGCCCAGCTTCTGCCTCTCGCTGCTGGAGATGGGCAGAGGGCAGGCAGCATTCCCCAGGGAAGGGCTTGAGCTTGTGAGACACTGAAATTGGGCAGAGCAGGCATAGCTGACACCCCAGCACATCCCAGAACTTGGTACTGGTTGTGCTGTAACAGGAGGGACAGCCATGGACCCTCCCTAAGTCATCCGTGTGCCCCTCTGTGCATCGCAGGTGGAGAACATGCTCTTCCCCAAACTCATCTCCTTGAACTCACCTTACTTTGACTTCATGGGCTGCAACTTCTCGGAGAAGAACATGTATGCCAAAGACAAGCGGGACGGGCAGTCAAAGGAGGGTAGCGGGCGAGTGGCCATCTACAAAGCCCTGGGGATCATCCACAGGTAGGCAAACCTCTGTATGCTCACAGAGCGTCCATGCCAGCTGCTCTGGCTGGCTCACATCTGTTGTGGAAGAGGGAAAAGTGTCCTGCTGGATGCAGGATGTTAAGGAAAGTTGAACCTGGTTCTGGGGGGCAGCCATGTCCTGCACAGCCCTCTGGTGAGGGTGGGACTGGCTGAGAGGAGCACTGGATGCTCAGTGTGCACAGAAGGTGTTACAAATGTTTATTGCATTGAGCTGATTCTCCTAAAATATTAAGTATGAACTCCCCCGCTTCTCAGTTTCATAGGTTTTAGTATTCTATGTGAAAAAAAATCGTCCCACAGCAAAAGCTAATACTGGCAAAAGGGTGAAGAGTTCACCAGTTCATCCTGGCCTTGAGGCCAGGACTCGGCTGTGCCAGACACTGCCACATTCCTGTGCCACCAGTGGTGTTCTGCTTCATAGAATCACAGAATGGTTTGGGTTGGAAGGAACCCTAAAGCTCATCCAGTTCCAACCCCCTGCCATGGGCAGGGACACCTTCCACTAGAGCAGGTTGCTCCAAGCCCCTTCCAACCTGGCCTTGAACACTGCCAAGGATGGGGCAGCCACAGCTTCTCTGGGGAACCTGTGCCAGGGCCTCACCACCCTCAGAGAGAAGAACTTCTTCCTCAGATCTCATCTCAATCTCCCCTCTGTCAGTTCAAAGCCATTCCCCCTTGGCCTGTCCCAACATACCCTTGTAAAGGACAAGATTCACAGCCTAGCTCCTCCTCCTCCCATACCCTCCATCTCTTCACGTCCCTCCTGCAGCTGCTCTGGCTTCATGTCATCACTCTCATAGAACTCTTATGCACGACTTCCCAGAAGGAATTCTTTTATTTCCTAGATGTTTATATTCATATTGAGCTGTAATTAAAGCCTGTTGAGTTGCAATGGGCTCTACTTCCCCAGACTTTGCACGCAAGATTGCCATGCAAGATTGCAGCCTCAACCACTCTGTGATTCAGTGAGTTGAAGATATTTACGTGATCCACAGCAGCTACACGCCTCCCTCTAGCAACAGATGGGATATTTTTGGCCTGTTGTGGTTGCTGGGAACGTAAAAATGACTGAGGCAATCAGATCAACAGCCTGGCTTACCCTCTCCTGGCCCTGGCCAGATGCAGGTGCTGAGGGAAGAGTACGAAAAGCGTGTAATGCATCCGTAGTGGATGCTGCGTTTCCCACAAATCTGTGGTTTGAGGAAACGTGGGAGTAGTGCCAGGCTTCCTGCCAGCCCTGGACTTCCCCCAGAAACCCCCATATCCCTTCTGCAGACAGCTGCTCTCTGTGGGTGTGGTTCCATGGCTGGTGCTGGGCCAGGCTGCCAGCAGAGGCAGCGGCTCCGTGGCTCCTTTCTTGCCCCTATTTCCTCAGCACTCGCTGTGCACTTCTGCTGCTTCCCTGAGGGTCAGGAAGCGTCTGAACCACCTAAACCAGCCCTGCAGTAACAAATACCTGAGATTTTGAGGCTCAGGCTGCTGGTTTAGCTGCTTGTGTGGCTGTTTGCTGTTGCTAGCAGGGAAGAGCCCGTTGTTAATCCATCAGTGACACCCTGAAAAGGGGCAGGTGTCAGGAGGGCACTTGGTGCTTGTGCTGTGTCAAGCACATGCAGAGAAAGATGCTTGGGTTCTTGTTGGGCAGATGCAAGCTGTCCCACGTGATGGTGCTATTGCCCTTCTCTCCTTCATGCTCTAACAGGACTCGATTGGTAACATTCTGGGGACCAAGATCAGGCTGTCTGGCAGCTCTGTCCCTGGATTGTCATTTTTCAAAGAATCATCAAATGATTTGGGTTGGAAGAGACCTTAAAGCTCATTCAGTTCCAGCCCCCTGCCATGGGCAGGGACACTTTCTTGTATACCATGTTGCTCCAAGCCCAGTCCAACCTGGCCTTAAACACTACCGGAGATGGGGCAGCCACAGCTTCTCTGAGCAACCTGTGCCAGGGCCTCACAACCCCCACAGGGAAGAATTTTTCCCTAATTTAAATCTCACCTCTGCCAGTTTAAAACCTGTCCCTACAGGCCCTTGTAAAAAGTCCCTCTCCACATTTCTTGTAGGCCCCCTTTAGGTATTAGAAGACTGTTATAAGGTCTGCCCTGAGCCTCCTCTAGGCTGAAGAAGCCCAGCTCTCTCAGCCTGTCTCCATAGCAGAGGTGCTCCAGCCCTCAGGTCGTCTTTGTGGACATCCTCTGGACTCACACCAGCAGCTCCACATCCTTCTTATTTTGGGGCTCCAGAGCTGGACACAGGACTGCAGGTGGGGTCTCACCAGAGCAGAGGTGGAGAATCCCCTCTCTCAACCTGCTGCAGAACATGGTTGGTTTCTGGGCTGTTTTTTGACAACAGATGCGGTGTTTGGCTTTCTCCAGCCATCAGGGAACCTCTTCCTCCCTGTCACCTTTCAGAGATGGCCGAGTGAAGCCTCACAAAGGCCTCGCAGCCCCTCAGAACTCTTGGGTGCTACCTCTTGAGGCCTGTGGGCTCACATAGGTTGTGTTTCTCAGGAGATCCCTGACTCCATTATCTTCCTCTTCCGGTAGTTTCCTCCTGGAGCCCCATCTCCAGGCAGCAGGTCACAGCAAGAGCCCCAGCCATCAGGGTCTGAGGGGGACCCCAGACTTCTTCCAAGAGGAAGCAGCCATGGATCCACTCTGTAATGTGGGCTTCCTTCTGCTCCACAGCTACACACTGGAGTGCAACTACAACACGGGACGCTTTGTGAACACCATCCCTGTGGCCTGCCATGACAATGGGAGGGCCAGCCCACCGCCCCCCGCTGCCTTTCCCTCCAAATACACCGTGGAGTTGTTTGAGCAGGTGAGGGGGTTCCTGCCCATGGGAAGGGTGTCCTGCTTGGGGCTGCAGCGCCTCTAGTGCCTTCAGCAAGGGGCAGCGGGTCCCTGGGGCTGTGCTTGCCCTGCACATGCATGTGCAGAGAGAGATCCCTATGGGAACACTCCTCCATTGGAGCCTGTGAACAAGCTTGGGGTTTGTCTGTGATTTGGGGTTAGGTTTCCTTCAGAGGAAGGAGCTGCTGCTCCTTCATGGAGTCTTTCTCACCAGTTGCCTTCCCCCCTGACAGGTTGGGAGAGCCTTGGCTGTGGCAGCGCTGGACATGGCAGAGTGCAATCCCTGGCCCCGGATCATCCTTTCGGAGCACAGCTGCCTCAGCAACCTGCGAGCCTGGATGCTGAAGCACGTGCGCAGCATGAAGGGTGCCAGCGGGGGCCCATGGAGGAGAGGAGGTTCCAAGACTCCCCCCAGGAGCTCCATGTAAGTGCCTGATGCATTATGTGCTTATGGGCTGCAGGATAATACCAGTTAGAGATTATAAACGTGAGTTACCCAGCATCTACTGAGGCCATGGTGTATCTGCTTGCTGTTCTGCCTCGCTGGGGCCCATGCATGTCCATGCTGAGTTTGTGAGCTGCAGGTGTGGGTACCCTCAGCAATCAGGCACCACAGGCAAGAGTGGTGCACAGCCATGCAGGGGGAAGCTGTTCAGGATTCTCCTGCCCCAGTAACCTGGGAAGTGATTATGCTGTCCACATAGAGCAACAGCATCTCTTCTGCTTCCCCTCCTTCTCCCCAGATCAGACTGGGATGGAGGAGGGACTGGGAACTCTGCAACTGTGCTGCTGCCTTGACAGTGATATACAGCATGGGGGACTGGGGGCTGCAGCTGCTCAGGGACAGCCCCTTGTGATTTTCCCATCCCCAGCAGCTCACCAGCTGCTGGAGAGAAGTCCAGGGGTCTGATGGAGATGTTGTCTGCAGCAGCCTCACACTGCTGCAGGGGTTTGGTAGAGGAAGACCCTTCCCTTCAGAGCCGGTCTGAGTCTCCTATTCCTCATCCCCTTTCAGCAGGCTCTCCACCTCAAACTCCGATAACGCCCTGTCCCGCATAAGAAGCTTCAGCAATGGTACCAGTGGGAGCGGCAGCAGCCAGCAGGATTCACCACGGATCAAAGTCTCCCCCAGCTTCACCTTCAGCTGCAGCAGGCCCTTGGGTCTGGCTGCTGCGAGCCAGAGTCCTCTGAAGCGCAGCACCAGAGCCCCGGCACCAGGCAGAGGTAAGCTGGGCTGGGAGCCCCTCATGCACTTGATCCAGGACCTGTCAAGCTGCTGTGTGAAGCCACAGCCCTGAGGAGAGCTCTGTGCCAGTGTAACATGTGCTTTTACGTAATAAAAGTGGGTTTGTGCAGAAGAAGTACGTGTGAGCCACCATCCTGTCCCCTCAGAAGGGCCCTGGATGCCATGTGCAGCTCTCCTCTCTGTCACTAGCAAAGTAGCCCGGGCTGGGTCAGGACAGACACCACACAGCAAGACCCAGGGCTTCTCCTGCCTGGAGGTGGCCCAGCTGAGCCCTGCCCCACGGCTCTGCTCCCCTGGCTGGGTAGAGGATGCCCACTGCTTTGGGACCAGAGGGACTGTCCGCTAGTGGCTTCTGCAGAAGCTGGCATGTAAAACCTTGCTAGGGCCCCAGCCACTTGCAAGGCCTGTGGGATACACCAAAGTGCCTTTTTCCTTCCCAGGCACCTGCTGCACAGCGGCACATTGTGGCACATGACTCAAGTCATGGCGAGGCAGGCTGGCAATGCTGTAATTAGTCACTAGGCCCTTTGAATGTGCATCAAGTCCTGTCCTGGTGGGGGCCGACTGGCAGCACCAAGCTGCCTGCAGAGCTGGGAGACAGGCCCTGGTGAGCCCCATGGCTGCACTGTGTTCTGGCAGCAGGGGCTGCTGAAACAAAGCAAGGTGCTCCTGTGCCCCTGTGCCAGCTTTCTGGCTCTGGGGCAGGGACCTCAGCACTGATCGGGCCCCTTGGTGGTTTGGTGCTGCAGGGGAAGCTCCAGTGCCCTGCACTGCTCTGTGGGCTGGTCCCACAGGCTCCCAGTCTAAGCAGAGAGGCTTGACTGGGAGCCTCAGTCTGCTGTGGGGCTGGTTGGCTCAGAGCCCGGAGAGGGAAGGTGTGTGAGCGAAGGGCCATTTCCAGGGGTGAGGGGCTGCCTGCGTGACTGGTGTGAGTGTTGCTGTGATTGTGCCGAGGGTCTGCGTTCTGGTGCTGCTCTGGGGAAGAGCCAGCTGCATTTCCCACTGTCAGCTTCCTTCTCTTGCTCCACCTGTGTTCCTTGCGTTGCTTCGTCCCCTGTGTTTGCTTGCCAACACTGTAGTGTCTGTGTCTCATCTGCCATGAGAACATGGCAGGGAGGAAATAAACAGTTTGTGTTCTCATGGGCACGTTGTAATGCCTGGTCCTTCTGCCGTGCATGCTGGGCCCCAGAGCCCAGGGGAGCAGCCCACTGACACGATCCCCACTGCTAGGAAGTCAGTGACAGTTGGGCACATGAGCAGGAAGTGACCTTTTGAGGAGCTGGAAGGGAAGAGCTCATCTCAGTAGGGCAGATCAGTGGTGTTCTGCCTCCCTCATCTGTGTTCTCTGCTTCCTGGCTGCCAGCGTGGCATCCCTTGGCAAGGGGCATAACGGCCAGCAGAGCTGAGCACCTGGTGGGATGTGATCTTGGAACTGAGATGTGGCTCTTCTGTCCCTGCCCTGGCATCACCTGACAGCGCTCCCTGCTGCCTCATCTGGGTCTTCCATGGCTCCCTGCATGCAAGAGGCCCGGCACTGCTGCGTCTGCACAGGGAAGTGCAGGCCAGGAATGCTTTGACCCCCCAGTTTTGTCTGTTGTTGCTGCTTTCCCACCAGTGGTGCCATCCTGGGGTGGTGCCAGGATGCTGTCACAGCTGCCAGGAAGGAACTGGGAATGCTCAGCCCTGGCTGCCACCAGCCAGGTGTGACAGGATAGGGGTTAAGTGGCACAGGATGAAGCCACTGCTCCTGAGCCATGTCTCATCCTTCCCCACCCTGTGCATGTGCTGCCCTGTGCACCTCTGCCTGTATGGGACAGGCAGGACATCCCCACAGGCCATGCCTAAGGGCAAGAGGAGGCTGCCTACCACTGGGGCCTGGTGGGACAGCTGGCCCAGAGTGATGGCCAGTCCGTTGGGGACTTGCTGCTTGGGATAGAGTCTGAAAAGCATCTGAGACGTGTCCCCGTCCCAGCTGCATCCTCTTTGCCTGGCAGGAAGACTCTTTCCTGGAGGGCCCATCCCACTATTCATGCGCTGTGCCAACTGGGCAGCCCTGGCCATGGTGGGGTCTGGTGTTCCCACAGACACAGTGGGTGTTCAGTGGTCAGCAGAGCTGCAGGCACTACCAGGCAGCTCTCATCTCCTTCCTTGCAGCTGCCCTGTCTGAGGAGCAGTGGAACTGGGGAGGGAAGGGCTGGGCCATGCAGTGGTGGGGCAGGAGCCATTTTCCCAGAGGGCTGCTCTGCCACGTTCAGACCCCCCCATGCTCCAGCCCGGAGTCCTGCGCAGTTCCTGCATTGGCCAAGCCCATGGACCAGGCTGGACCTGTTTTCTGCCCATCCTTGCAAATGCCAGGGTGAGGAGAGGGGTCTGTAGGACCCCACTGACCTTTCTGTGGCTGCCACTGGCCTTTGCTGGCTGGAGTTTGTCAACAAATTGTGCCGTTTCGGTTGTGACAAGATTAAGAGCTATTGAAAGTAAAGCCACCACCCTGAGCGAGTGCTTGTGTGTGTCACCAACCTGCCCCAGCATGGGCTTTGCAACAGTCCGACTCCTGTGTGGGGTCTTAACTCACTGTGGGGTTCCCCACGGTTCATTTGGGCATTTCACTGTTGTAAATGCTGTTGGGGGGACCTTTGTGTGTCCCCACAGGGCTAGTCCTGTTGAACACCAGCAGCATGGCCAGCCATGCCAAGGGCCAGTGCTCCGCATGCTGCCTGCTGGGCTTATCTCTCCAGTAGCAGGGCTCTATGCTTGCCCTGCACCTGCCCCAGGCTGCCCAGGAGCCTGGCTTTGCCACATCCTATGGAGGCGATGGGCACTTTCCCTGGGCCTGGTGCCCCCATCAGCCTCCTGGGTCTGCCTGGCACAGCTGGTTCAGAGCCCATTGCACCAGTGAGCATGAACCAGGATTGGGCCCTGGCTCCCCAGTCCTGCCTGTGCTGTCCCTACCCATCTCCTGCACTCCAGCACAGGCAGAAAGCACGGTCCTCGGCCACAGCCTTGTTCTGCGGTGACTGAGACGGGTGTCTGGTGCTGCTGCTTCTGGCTTCAGTTCCCACCAGCAGCCTTGGCCCCACGCTGAGTCGCTGAGTCCTGCCATGGTCCTTCCTGCTGGTACCTCAGCAGCTTCCAAAGCAGCTCCTCCCGCTCTTTGACTCTGGGGCTGCAACTCAGCAGCCTGGCCATGGCAAGGCCAGCAAGCAGCTCTGTCCCAGCTCTCCTGGCTAAAAGCACACACTGCAGTGGCCAGGAGCTCAGTGCATGGCTGCTGTGGTGCAGGGAATGGTGCCTGACTCAGTAGTGTGGGGATGCATCATGCCCATTGGCTGGGCACATACTCCAGTGTGGCTGTGGAGCTGCAGTGGCTCAGTGGTGCTGCCAGCACGTGTGTCCATGTGCCAACCCTGTCTTGTGCTGGCTCTGTGTGCTGAGCTCAGGCAGCCGCTGCCCTGCTGCAGCTCAGAGGCCCCTCACCACCCCAGTGTGTGCCCGGCACAGGCTGAGCTCTATTGTTTGTCACACAGGGACCCTGCCATTGGGCACCCAGACAGCACCAAGCACAGGCACCAGCCACGGTCCACGGAAGGCCCAGCAAGGTGCAGAAGAGCCGGTGGCTGATCATGGCCCAGCACGGCTGCAGGTACTGCAGGGTGCTGGGGGACTGCCCCATGGCTCTGGGGCTTCTGGGGGTAGTGGGGTAAGGAACGTGCAGGGACGCACACTGTGAGCTGTCATACCCTCTCTGTGGGGCTCCACCGGGAGCTTCTGCCCATCATGGACATTTCCCGAGCCTTACAGACAGCTGGGGCAAGGGGGAAGGCCCGGCTGGGTGGCTTTCTCCCCTGCAGCCATGGGGGGTTCCTGTGAGGAACTCCCTAGGTCACCGACCTATTCTCCTCTCCTCTTTATAGGTGATCCCCAGGAAGCTGGATGCCAGGAGGGCAGAGCAACCCGGGTAGGTGTGGAGGCACCCCACAGCATGGGGCACCCCTGAACTGGCCTAGAGCCCACGCTGACACAGGCAGCGGGACTGGAGATGCAGGGGGGGTGGGCAGAGGCACACCCACCCCAGCAGCAGCCACCTCAGGAGTGGCCCATGGGTCTCCGCAGGCGCCCACCACGCCCCAGCAGGATCCCCGTGCGGAGGAAAGGGGCAGTGACTGGGCAGAACCCACCAGGGCTCCACACCAACAGCACCACAGCCCACCAGGCCAGGACATTCAGCCGGGACAGGCCCCAGGCCTCACAGTTTCCACCAGGTAGGGCGCGGCATGGGGCTGTGGGGCCGCAGCACCCACTCGGTGCCCAGTGCAGGAGGGGAGCATCACCCCTAGGCATGGTGGGTGCCCTTGGTGTGCTGCATCAGGCCCAGGACCCCACAACCCCCAGGCCTGGGACAGCCCTAGTGGTGGCCAACACTAGTCCCTGTCCCTGCAGGGCTCTGCCCAGAGCCCCCTGCACTCCCCGAGGGCGTGCAGAGCGCCGAGGAACTCCTCCTGTGTGGGGACAAGGTCCTGCACCCCCAGGTACGGCCCTGCAGGGCTGCAGTGCGGACATGGGGACCCCTGCCCAGCTCTGCCCTATGCTGGCGGGGCCTGGGCAGAGGCGACAGTCCTGGGGAGGGGGCTCCAATCTCACTGCCCCAGCCCCTCTGCTCCCTCACAGCACCCAGCTGCAGGCCCTCCCTCGCTCAGCTCCTACCGGCAGCTCCTTTCGTTCTGCGCCGAAGCCTGACCGTGCTCTGGCACCCCGGATCCCCAGCGTGGGGCAGGGCTGGTCTCCCCCTGCCACGGGCCTTGGCCGGACTAAAGCTGTAGCAGTGCAGAGCCCTGTCTGCGGCCGCCGCACCACTCACCCCACACTGTGCCTACGTCTGGAGCGGCCACCGCTGCTGGCCCACAGCAGCTCCCAGTGATAGAAGGCTCCCACCGGGGACAGCCCCGCTCCTCCCCGCGGGACCGGCGGAGGAGCCTGGCACAGGAGGGAGGGATCAGGGATTTTTACATCACACGGTTTCGTATTGTATTACTGTGTTTCCGTTAAAGTTTGTTTGGAAGAAGCCGCGGCCTCTTGTCTCAGCGCAGCACCGCTCTGCTGTGGTTATCATGGAGCAGGGCAGCTGGGGCAGGTCTGCAGGTGAGCCAGTCTGGGGGTGCCGGTGCGGTGCATCCCCAGGCGGCCTCACTCCTGCTTCTTGGGGTTGTTGACGGCCACGTAATGGTAGAGCACGACGAGGAGGAAGAGCGACACGCCCAGCATGTTGGCGAAGATGGCGAGCTGCACGTCCGTGATCATCCTGCCGGGGGATCGCGCTGCCAGCCACGCTGGGACACCCCAGGAACCTCCAAAGACCCCAACCCCGCTGCGACCTCCCCAAGTACCCCAGTGCCCTGCCAGGACATGCCAAGGCACAGGCCACCCGCCCGGGATACCCCCGGGGCCCTCACTCCACTGGGACTCCTCCGCTCTGCCGGTGCTGCCCCACTGGGGCACGCCGGGACCCGCGCGGGGCAGAACTCCGGTACCGACACCCCCGTCCCTCGTACTCACGCGCCGCCGGTGCTGCCGCTACTGCCGCCACGTCTCCCTGCGCTTCGCGCGACTTCCGGTAGCGGGGGAACGGGCGGAGCTTCTTGGAGACGTCAGACCCGCCTCGGTCTCCGCGGTGACGTCACGGCCCGGTCCCTGCCACACTGTGACGTCACGGCCGGGCTGTGGCGCGGGGCTCTCCGCGCTGCAGTGACGTCACAGCTCCTGGCCCCTGTTGGAGCCCCCCCACTCGGGCCGCCACCACCGACACCATACAAGGCCGGGAGCGGGGCAGGGGGCGGGGCCTCGGGGAGGGCGCGGCCCAGGGCGGCCGGAGCTAATTATAGGTGCTGGAAGGGGGGGAGCGGGGACGGGAGCGTGTGGGGACCGCAGTGGGGCGTGCTTGGGGGTGCTGCTCCGTACTGGGCTTGATGTGGGCTGCGCAGCGCCCGCCTCACTGCCCCACTGAGCACTTACAGGGGTGACATTGCTCCCGCGGCTGGGGGCTGGGGACAGCCATGGCTTGCTGCCCGGCCAAGCACAGCCCAGACCCCCCGGCTCCACTTTACCCCTCCTCCCCCTCATCCCTCCCTCCCCCATCCAGCTGCCTGCAGCTGTTTGTGCTTAACCCACATCCAGCAGCCCTGGGGAGCGGCGGGTTCCCGCGCTGCTGTGCCAGGCCATGACGTCACCCCGGGGCTGGCGCCAAGGCGTGATGTCAGCGCAAGGTCATGACATCACTGTGTAGCCTGGGGAAGCCATGGTGTCACTGCAGGGCCCTGTCCGTGGCGAGACGGCCACTGTGTGTCATCACCTGCTCCTGGCTGGAACCTCACTCCCGTGGCCCTGGTGACCGCTGTCCCCAGCACAGTGCCATGGGGCTCAGCACCCACTGAGACATGGCACCAGCATGGGGCCACGGCAGTGTCAGGCACCCTGTGCCAGTACCCACAGCCTGGCCCAGGGAGCCCCAGGATGGAAACCCACAAGCACAGCCGTGGGCAAGCAGGAAAAGAGGGTGCAGCGGGGGATGGACCCGTAGCATCCAGCGCTGCAGCGTGGGGACCACGGGTGTGCAAGGAGCGGGGTGCTGCAGGAGGAGCCATGTGAAGTGGTGGCCATGGGAACCCATGTGGGGCGTGGGCAGGCGCGCGAGGCCGTGGAAGTACGGTGCGGCAGGGGGGGACCCGTGGCGGTAGCACCCGCCGCGCTGGCTGCCTGCAGCCCTGGCCCCCTGCCCGGCCTCTCTGGCTTTCCCCGTCCCTCCTTCCCGTCCTCGCTGGCGTCCCGGCCTAACGAGAAGCAGATGTGCCGGGCGGGCGGTGGGGGCCGGCGGGGGCTGCGGTGCCCGGCGGAGGCCGGGACGCGCCGGGGGCCGCGCTGGCCGGCTCGGGGGCCGCGGCTGGCAGGAAGCGGGGGGCCCCGGGGACCCCGTCGAGCGGGCAGCGCGGGGCGGCTCTGGCGGCGAGGGGCTGGCCGAGGCGCGGCCGAGGGGAGGGCAGAGCCGCCGTTCGGAGCCGAGCCGTGCAGAGCCGGGAGAGACGGGGCCGCGACGGGACGCGCCATGCGCTCCTGATCTGGGCTGTGTCCGCCGAGGAGCACCACGCCGAGCCACGCCGTGCCGGCCCGAGCCGTGCCACGCCGAGCCGAGCCGTGCCGAGCCTCCCGCCCAGCATGGCCCCCTGGCTCTGGCCGTGCCTCCTGGCCGCCCAGGCCCTGGCCGCCAACTTCCCCTCCAGGTACAGCCTCTACACCGGGGGGGCCGCCTCGCTCGGTACCGTCCAGGCTACGGCCCCGCAGAGCCCCGCCGCGGCCCACAGCGCTGCCCGGGCCGCCAGCCGGCACAGGTAGGAGCCGTGACCGCCGGGCGGGACGGGAGGGCATCCCCGGCGGTACCGTGTCCCAGAGCACCGGGAGAACAAGTTTTCCCGCGAACAGCCGGGCGCCGGCACATGCCACATCCGGCACGGGGTCCTGTCCCGAAGGATGCTGCTGTGCCGGGTGCTGGGGGTGCCCTGATGGTAGGGCCACCCGCACCCATCACTATCCCACTGTCCTCAGATGGTGGGTGTGGGCTGGGGGCATGTGGAGGGGACGGCGCAGGGGACTCCCGAAGGCACACATGGGGCCAGGCACCAGGAGCACTCCGGTGAGGGCGCAGACCAGCTGGGGCGAGTGTTGGTGCTGGACTGCGTGCTGCCTGGTGCTGCTGTGCCAGAGATTGCCGTACAGGCCCTGCCACAACATCCACACGTCCGTGCTGTGCATGCCGGCGCGGGGTCAGCACTGTCGGGGGCAGGACAGGGTGAGGAGCCCGGACCCACCATGTTCCCATCCCCGTCCTGTCCCGACCCGTGCCGTGCCGGCGGGTAGGCAGTGTGGGGCTGCCTACAGGCCGGGGAGTTGTGGGTGCAGGACTGGAGAGGGTCCCACACCAGACTGGGGGTCACATTTTCATCATGGCCGCATCAGCGCCGCAGCAGTGTGGCCACATGAGGTGGAGCTGCACCGGCTCGGCCGCAGCCGGCGGCTGCCCCATCCCTGCCCCACTGCCAGACCCACGACTGCCCCACGCAGCCCAGGGCAGGATGGCAGGGCCTGGCTGCCGGAGTGATTCCTGGAAAGGGGGGATGTGGGTCGGGCACCCCCAGACCCCAGCCCTGCAGGCCCATGGCTGAGCATTGACCTGTGGCTTTGTGGGCACAGTGGGGTCTCCCCATGGTTTTGGGGGGCGGAGTGGCCCCTCCCCGTGCTCAGGGGGCACATCCCCATGCCCTGCCGGATCAGGAGGGCTCTCGTCCCATCCATCCCGTCCCTGGATGTGGACATCCTGGTTCCCTGTAGTGGGACCCTGGGGTCCCGCCGCCGTGGGGCAGAAGGGGGCAGGGAATGGAAGGGAATGGGAAGGGAAGGGGGGGGGGGGGGGGGCATAAGCAGGCGCAGGAATTCCCGGCGGCCCCCGGGGAGGAGCTGGAATCCAGCCGGGGCCTGAGGGAAACCAGCCGGGATGACGGGAACCGGCCGTGGCACCGCAGGCCCCCACCGCAGCCCAGCTCCTCCGGGCGGGGGAGGGCGGGGGACTACTCCCTGTGGGGCTGCTCTGTGTGGGGCTGAGGATGGGGCTGGGATCCAGGCTCTGGGATCCAGGCTCAGGCCATATACGGCTGTGCCAGGGTCCCTGCACCCCATGGGCCTGGGCTGGGGACCTGTGCCTTGGGACTGGGGTACCTGCAGCCTGTGAGGCTGGGCTGGGGTCTAGCGCCATGTCCCAGGGTTTGCACCTGTCTGGGAGCTGGGGGACTCCATTGCTGGTCATGGGTGCTGGCACCTCCAGTGTGGGGGTGGCAGCAGTGCCACTATACAGCGGCACTGTTCCCCCAACCCACCACCCGCTCTGGCTCAGGGGGGACAGTTGACCCCCACTTGCAGACTGCTGGTTGCGGGGTGCAATGGCCATGGCGTGGCTGTCCCAGCCCCACCAGTGGTGAGGGGACAGGGGACATGCAGCTCAGTGATGGAGTGGCATGTGGGGTGCCTGTCCCCAGGACTGGGAGCACAGGCCCCACAGCATAGTGTGATGGAGTGCCTGGAACCCCAAACCCTGCCCGGCCTCCCTGAGCCTCACAGGCAGAGCCCCCATCCCCACATGGGCTGCAGCTGTTCTTGTGGTGCCACCAGCCCCTGCCAAGGGCCCCTGTGCTATGGGCGACTGAGCAGGGCAGGGATGAAAGGGCTGCGGAACGGGGCAGGATCCAGCCCATTAACCCCACAGCTGTGGACCGTGACGGCTGCTACCGGTGGAGCCTGGAGGGCAAGCGCAGGGGGTGCCGGAGTGGGGGATGCCTGCTGTGTGTCAGGATGGTGCCCGGTGTGGGCCAGGCGGACACGCTGAGCCCTTCCCACAGGAACTGGTGTGCCTACGTGGTGACACGCACTGTGAGCTGCGTGGTGGAGGACGGCGTCGAAAGCTTCGTGAAGCCAGATTACCAGCCCTGCGCCTGGGGGCAGCTCCAGTGCCCCCGCGTCCTGGCGTGAGTGGGACGGCACCGGGGGGACCTGGGGGCATGGGACAGAGCCGGGTCTGCCTGCAGCGCCGCCGCAGCCGCCGGTGTTTATCCACCCCGGGGTTGTGTTTACTTTGCGCAAGAGCCAGCTGCTTGCGTGGGCCTGGATGGGTGACCGGCTCCCCCCGCGAGGCACATGCGGGGACCCCCATGCACGCCACACCAGGGCATGTCTGCAGCTGGCACCTCAGTGGTGGGGCTGGCGGTTTGGGGGCATGGCAAAAATGGGGTTGGAGGGGCTGGCCGGGGAGAACTCCCAGTCAGCGGCAATTGAGCAAGTGGCCAACAGGGCCACACCGTGGCCTGGGTTTGCTTTTGCTCCCGACTTGCTGCTGCCCAGCCCTGAGCCGCTGCCTGACGCAGCCGCACACGCTGGGACTGTGGTGCTCAGCATGACCCCCGAGTGGGAACCTGGCAGGAGCTGGGGCTGAGTGCAGGCAGGGCTCCTCCCAGCCCACACCTGGGACCCCCACCTAGCTGTTCCCAGCCTGCCCCGCTGGGTTCCCCATCCCCATCCCCGCTGCAGCAGAGTCCCATCTGCCCGCAGGTACCGCAGCTTCCTGAGGCCCCGGTACAAGCTGTCCCAGCGGACGGTGTCGGAGCTGGCCTGGCGCTGCTGCCAGGGGTACTCAGGCGAGGACTGCACAGAGGGGCCGGCGCCAGCTGTCCCCCAGCCCACCGGCCGGCCCCGGCCGCGGCCCGGCCGCCCCACACTCTCCGGCTTCGGCAACCCCCTCAGCGGCCTGGGGGGTGAAGGTAATGCCGGTGGTCAGGGTGGGGGGAACTTCCCACCGGGGTGACACTGACAGTGTGATGCGGCACAGGCGGCGGGGATGCGGAGAAGGTGCGGCGGCTGGAGGAGCAAGTGCGGCGGCTGAGCGAGCAGGTGGAGGAGCTGCGGGCCGGGCGGGAGCCACCGCTGGAGCACCCACAGCGGGCGGCAGTGGGCGGCAGCCCCGAGGGCGAGCAACCGGCTGACGCGGCCCCGGCCGAGATGCGGGAGGCACTGAGCCAAGTCCAGCGGCGGCTGGAGGAGCTGGAGACCCACCTGCGGCACCAGGAGGGTGGCCGGGACGGCGCGGTGGCAGCAGTGGAAGGCGGCCCGGCGGCGGCCATGGCCCTGCATGAGCTGGAGCGACGCCTGCAGGAGACCTGCGCTGCCTGCACAGCCAGCACTGAGGGGCTGCGGCGGCAGATGGCCGAGGACCGGGAACGCATGCGGGCGCTGGAGAAACTGGTGGGCTCGGTGGACCAGCGCAACCGGGAGGCGGTGGAGACGGTGCAGAAGCACATCAGCAGCCTGAGCAGCCGCCTGGCCCCGCAGCCGCTGCCGGACGACGTGCACCGGCGCCTGGCCGAGCTGGAGCGGCGGCTGGAGGGGCTGCCCATGGCAGCGGTGGCGGGGCCAGGCGGGCAGGCCCCAGTGCTGGCCCGGAGGCTGGCGGAGCTGGAGGGGCAGCTGAATGCCTCACGGGCTGGCCCGTGGCTCCCCGAGCCCGAGTGGCGGCAGGGCGGGCTGCCGGGACGTGTGGCCAACCTGAGCCGGGCCGTGGAGGGGCTGGTGGCAAGTGGGGCACAGCGCGGTGCCCGCCTGACCGAGCTGGAGGGGCTGCTGGCCCGCTGCAGCCAGCCCTGCGCAGCACCGCCGGCGGGCAGCCAGGACAGGCAGCTCGGAACACTGGTGCGGCAGCTGGAGCAGCGGCTGCAGGACAGCGAGGGGCAGCTCCAGGCCCTGGGGGCCGGCAGGGACGAGCTGGCAGGGACCCTGCAGGGTCTGCGGGCGGAGGGCGGGGCGCTGCGGGAGCTGCTGGAGGAGCAGGGGGAGGCGCTGGGGCGGCTGCTGGTGCAGCTGGAGCCGGGGGGCACCGTGGTGGAGGAACTGGCACAGCTCCGCAACCGGACGGGGCGGCTGGAGGCTGAGCTGGGGGGCGCGGATGGCAGCCACTGCCCCCAGCCCTGCACCCCACTGCTGCCTGGAGAGCTGCAGCAGCTGCGGGTTGAGGTGGACGCCTGCACCGCCGCCTGCCGCCCGCCACAGCCCGGCCTCACCGCTCCAGAGCTGGAGCCGGAGGCCCCTCTGGAAGGGTTCAGCGTCTTCGGGGGCACGTTGCCCTTGGAGCTGCGAGTGCTGCGGGCCGAGCTGGCGTCGGCGCTGCTCTCCCTGAGCGGGCTCAACGCCACGGTGGAGGGGCTGCAGGACGCTCTGGACCAGCAGGACGCCCGGCAGCGCCAGCTGGGTGCCGTCACTGACCGCATCGTGTCCGAGCTGGACCAGGCGGCGGCGGCGGCGGCAGCGCGGGAGGCCGAGAGTGAGGAGCGGCTGGAGGCGCTGGCGCGGGAGCTGGCGCGCACCGGGGGCTGCCCTGCCGGCCTGGAGCCGCGCGTGGCCAAGCTGGAGGGTGTCTGTGAGCAGCTGGAGGCCGTGGCAGGCGGGCTGCGGGGCGTCCGCGATGGCCTGGGCCGGCACGTGGCCGGGCTGTGGGCTGCGGTGAGGGAGCTGAACGGCACAGCCGGCACCCGGGCGGTGCTGCTGGAGAAGGCGCTGCAGGCGCAGCTCCAGCGCCGCCTCGGAGCCCTCAACACCAGCCTGGAGCACCTGCGTGGGGACGTGCTGAGCCTGACCGCGAGGGACCTCACCGGTGCGGGAGCACGGGACATTGTGGGGACCAGGGGTCACCGGAGACTGGAGGGGTGTAGGGAGGTGGGGGTGTTGGGGTGTGGAGACGAGGGACAGCAAGAGGCTGCAGGGTGCGGGTCTGCCGTTCATGGGGATGTGGGACACAAGCCACGGGGATGTAGGGCTGTGGGGATGCGGGGCTGTGGGGACATGGGGATGCAAGTCATGGGCACCTGGGGGCTCAAACTGCGGGAATGTGGGGATGTGGAGATGTATGTAATAAGGACATGGGGGCTCAAGTTGTGGGGACATGAGGCTGCAGTGCATGAGAACATGGGGACACAAGTCATGGGGATGTGAGGGCTCAAGGTGTGGGGGGTCAAGGCATAGGGACGTGGGCCTGTGGGTTGTGCTGTGGGGTTGGGGCAGTTCTAAACCCATCTTCACCTTAGGTCCTCCTGGGCCCCCTGGACCCATTGGCCCCATGGGCAAGATGGGCCCCCCCGGCCCTGCTGGGCCCCCTGGTAAGGATGGAGAACAAGGCCCCATAGGCCCCCAAGGTAAGAAGCAGCCCCTCAGTGCCCCATCACTCACAGTGGGGCAGCACTGACATGGCTGAACCCTGTGCCTGGGTGTCCTGCCCCATGCTGGCCCTGCAACTCAACTCGCCTTCCTTCCTAGGGCTGCCAGGAGAGAGAGGTAAGGCTGGGGGCTTGGGGGGACCATGTGGGGCTGGAGACTTGGGGGGGGGGGGAGGGTTGATGGGATGAGGAATGAGGGGTCTTGAGGGTACAAAGGGGTGGGGACTGGCAGGGGCTTTGGGGAGGGCATGGGGGCTGGACGGGCTACAACGGCATCTGGGGTTGGGGGCATGGGGTGAGGGGAGGAGGTTGGGGTACATGGGGGGGCACTGGGCAGCTTGGGATCATGCACACAGCTGGGGCCACAAGGGATGGATGTGATGAAGGAGGAGAGCATATGGATGCAGGAAAGGGGCAGGTATAGTGGGGTCAGGGCTCAGGGTGCTGGCTTGGGGTGCCCATTTCTGACATGGTGTCTAGGTGATGTGGGGGAGCCGGGCTCTGTGCCCCGTGTTGCCTTCTCGGCTGCCCTCAGCACCCGGCGGACGGAGCCAGGCACCGTCCCCTTCGACCAGGTCCTGCTCAACGACGGTGGTGCCTACGACCCTGAGACAGGTGAGCGGCCACACAGCTCCCCATGTGGGGCAGGGTGGGCTGTGGGGTGGGACAGGGGCTACAGTGGGGGCTGAAGGGACTCCACAGGCATGGGTGAATCATGACCCTGGGGTGTGCTCAGGGATGTTGTGCCCACTGCATGGGTGAATCGACAGCCATGGGGTGCAGAGGGGCAGCCCAGGGGTGTAGAACCCACTCTGGGGATGGAGCTGGGGTGGGTGCTGGCGCTGACACCCACCACCCGCGGCCATAGGCATGTTCACGGCGCCGGTGAGCGGGCGGTACCTGGTGAGCGCGGTGCTGACAGGACACAAGGGCGAGAAGCTGGAGGCCGTGCTGTCCCGCTCCAACCTGGGCATTGCTCGCCTGGACTCAGCCGGCTTCCAGCCCGAGGGGCTGGAGAAGGAACCAGTGGCTGCACTGCAGCCCAGCCCTGGCTCGCTCGGCATCTTCAGCCTCCTGCTGCCGTTGGCGGCTGGCGAGACCCTCTGTGTGGACCTGGTCTCAGGGCGCCTGGCCCATGCACCCGATGAGCCCCTCACTGTGTTCAGTGGGGCCCTGCTGTATGACGCCGAGGAGCCCTAGAGCCACCCAACCCTTGGGATGCCCCCCAGGCACGGGGGGTCCCCACACCCCACCAGGAACCCCCCCACCTGCCCCATTATTTATCAGCACCCCCTACTCCTCATTCCCACCCCACTGCCACGTGTCCCAGACCCACACCGCCCACCACAGCCCCCTACTACCCCCCACGAAATAAAGATGCGGCACCGGGTTTTGTACCCACGGCTCCAGCTCCTTCCTGTGCCCCCACTGTTTATTGCCCCATTCTGGGGGTCCCACGGATCTCACTGCCATCAGAAATCTTCATCTCAGCCTGAGAATTCATCCTTTGCTGGCATCCAGTTGACTGAGAAGCCCTTAAAGTTGGCGTAGGGGGGTCCCTGGTGGGGGCACATGGGGTCACAGCCAGCCCCTCCTGTCCCCCCCCAGCAATGACTCCCAGCCCCCAACTCGCTTCCTGTGAGGATGAGCTGCAGGGTGGGCTTCTCCAGCTGATGCAGCAAGAGCTTCTGTTGCCTCAGGGCCCTGAAACATCTGGGGGGTAAGGGTGATGGAGGAGCCATGGCGGGGGCCCTCAATCCCCTGCAACCCCTTACCTGTACTTCTTGATGCCATGGATGCCACTGGCTGTGTTCCCCAGGCCCTGCCCCTGATGGTGCCTGCAAGAGGATGGACGGACGCAGAGCTGGGGAGTGTACCTCTTGTACCTGGGGCCCCACTTTGCACACCAGAGGCACACAGGGCTGAGTGCTGAGACACAGGAGGGGGTCAGGGTGTTGGGCACATGCAGTGGGCACCCTGCGCCCATGGTGGGGATGGTCCTTACCCTGCAAGGTGGCTGTGTGCCTGCAGTGGTACAGCAGGGCCAGCTCCCCAAACACATCTCCTGGCCTCAGTGTGCGAAGTGGGTGGCCACACTGGCTCATACTGAGCTGCCCTTCTGTGGAGAGACATGGCAGAGCATGCACATGTGTATGCACGCATGCATGCACACACAGGCTGCCCTGCAGCAGGCAGCCTCGCACATGCACCCACATTGTGCATCTCCTGCAGCGGGTGCACACTGCAGGTGAGCTCACACCCATGGACAGGCAAACACATGAGCACACCTGCACACGCGTGGCCTGGCTCTGCACTCCCATCTGATGTACATGGCGGTGCCCTCAGGCAGCATCATGTCCCCGGGGCCATGTTGGATGGGGGTGAAGCTCCGGGCCAGCACCTCAGGATAGCCCTCACCCAGGCGCCACAGATATGGGCTGCGCTCCACTGCAGCTGCAATGAGGCTGAGGTCCCTAGGGACATGGAGACACGCAGGTCCCCTGGTCCCTGGTTCCTGCTGGCTACCTGGGCAACGTGGGGCTGTTGGGCACACAGAGGGCATCACCACTGGTGAGGGGCTCCGGGATGATGGCTACAGTGCGGCTGTCTTGCCAGCCGGGGGGTAACTCCTTGGAACCCTCCTGCAGCATACTCTGCAGGAACGTCCTCTCCTCCTGCAGCTGCAGCTCCAGCAGCACCTTGTTCATCCCTGCACCCTGTGAAGGGACAGTTTAACGTCAGCCCAGCACAGGGCAGGCGCATGGAAACAGAAGGGAGATGCCCTCCTAGGTAAAGGGTCATGGCCCCACACTGCTCCAGATAACTCCACATGACCCCACATATCCCCACTTGTGCTATCAGCCTTGGCTCAACATATCTGGCTGTGGCAAAGCACATCTGGCCACAGCACAGTGTGGGCAGTGTGGGGGACACAGGACCCCATAGTGCCAGGTTCTCAGCCCCTGCAACACCTCAGTAGGATCCCATGGGTGTCCCAGCCCCAAAAAGGCTCTGTCCCAGCCGCAGCACAGCAGGCGCCAGGTGCTCTCTGACCCGTGCAAAGGTTGTGCTGCTGGCACAAGGGAGCCATGGGCCTCAGCACAGCCTCTGCCACAACGCATCGACATGGTGACCTGTCCTGAGTGCTCTGTCAGATCCTGCACCTCAGCCCTGCTGCCAACCCCACGCCCGTGCCTACCTGCACCCCACATCTGCTGCCGTTCCCTCCCAGCCCCACGCTGTCTATAACACATTAACCAGCATGTGCCGAACGCGCCTGTGCCTGCTGTCACTCGCTACAGCCCACTGCACCCTGACCTGCGCCCCATGCCGGCGAGAGCTGGATGGGGACTGGGGCAGAGTCCAGCCCTGGCTGCACCCTGACCCTGGCGCCTGTCACATCACAGCACCTCAACGTGGGGGGTGCACAGGCACGGGGGTGCACGAGGGGGGTGCACGGAGGGGGTGCACGGGGGGTGTGCATGGCAGGGTGTGCACGGGGGTGTGCACGGGGGTGTGCACGGAGGGGGTGCACGGCAGGGTGTGCATTTGGGGGGGGTGTGCACGGAGGGGGTGCATGGAGGGGGTGCATGAAGGGGGTACACGGGGGGGTGTGCACAGGGGGTGTGCATGGCAGGGTGTGCATTTGGGGGGGGTGCACGGAGGGGGTGCACGGAGGGGGTGCATGAAGGGGGTGCACGGGGGGGTGCACGGGGGGTGTGCATGGCAGGGTGCGCATTTGGGGGGGGGTGCACGGAGGGGGTGCACGGGGGGGTGCACGGGGGGTGTGCATGGCAGGGTGTGCATTTGGGGGGGGGTGTGCAAGCAGCGCGAGGGACTGAGGCGCAGCACGTGCAGCGCCGTACACCCCTGCGAGCTTCCCACACACAGATACAGCGCATGCGCAGAGGAAGGTTAGGGCGGTGCGGATGTGGAGGGCGTGGCCTAACCCCTCCCTCTCCCCGCCCACAGAGTAGCGCTCTGATTGGCAGCTCTTGGAAGGGCGTGGTGTAGGGAGGCGGGGAGGCGGGGCCTGACGCAGGGGCGGAGTCTGTGGAAGGGGCGGGGCCTATCGGCCGCGCCGGTGCCGGTACCGGAGCGGAGCGGCTGCGGCAATGGCAGCGGCCGCCCGGAGGGGCCCCGTCCCGGGCGGGGAGAAGCGGATCCTGTGCGTGGGGCTGGTGTGCCTGGACATCATCAGCGTGGTGGAGGCGTATCCTGCCGAGGACTCCGACATCAGGTACCAGCGGGCGGGCTGCGAGGCGGGGCAGCTCCGCTGGGAGGAGGAGGAGGACCTGGGTCTGAACCGGTGCCCACGGCCCATGGCCTTGCAGGTGCATGTCGCAGCGATGGCAGCGGGGCGGGAATGCCTCCAACTCCTGCACGGTGCTGGCGCTGCTGGGAGCTCCCTGCGCCTTCATGGGCTCGCTGGCCACTGGGCACGCTGCTGAGTAAGTGGGGAGCGGGATGGGGGCTCCGGCCGCCGGCGGGGCCCTACTCTGACACTTCCACCGGCCCTCCTGCATCTCTCCTGCTGGCAGCTTCGTCCTGGCCGACCTGCGGCGCTACGGGGTGGACGTGGGCCATGTGGTGCCGCAGCCCACCAGCTGCCTGCCCACCTCCATTGTCATCGCCAGCGCCAGCCGGGGCACCCGCACCATCCTGCACGCCTGCGGGTGCGTGGCGCCCCTCACCCCGCTCTCTGTCCCCCAAGTTTCATTGTGGCGGATTTCCGGCGCCGGGGTGTGGATGTGACGCACGTGGCCTGGCAGCCCAGTGGGGACGTGCCCTGCGCCTGCTGTGTTGTCAGTGTCGCCAGCGGCACCCGGACCATCGTGCTCTACGACACGTAAGGGCCCCATCACCTGGGCCTGGCACCTGGGGCCTCCCCTGCACCCTGGGATCACACAGTGCTCAGCCGCAGGACGAGGCTCTGCTGGTGCCTGCCAGGGCTACTGCTTCCAGATCAAGTGATTCTCCATAATCCTGCACATGCAATGACTGTCAATCGTCCCACAGCTCCTGATTGCCCCTGTGCCATTGTCGTGATTGGCAGTGGTGTTCCTTGGCCAAGGCTGTGGTTCCTTGGCGGTGGCCATGCCTGCAGGGTGAATGCAGCCCTTACCCAGGCATCGTGCTGGCCCCATTCACGCAGAGCTGTGGTGGCCTGGGATGATGGGCATCACACCACTGCATTGCCCTTTGAGTCTATCTCAGGGTCCCGCTGTGCCATCATTAATGATTAATGATTCACGCGGATCGTGCCATCCCACGGGGAACTCTGCCCCGGGCAGCACCGAGCCCTTCACCCCCAGCTGGGGGTCACCCAGGGCCACCCCACACTGTTGCTGGCGTCCCCCCGTCTGACCCCCCATTTGCAGGAACCTGCCAGATGTGACACCCCGCGACTTTGAGCAGGTTGACCTCTCCCAGTACAAGTGGATCCACTGGGAGGTGAGCCCGGGGCTGGGAAGAACTGGGGCATTTGGGGTTGGGCAGGGGGTATCTCAGGGCTTGGGGGTTCAGTGACGGAGGAGGTGATCCCTGGGACAGAAGGGGAGAACCAAGGGCTGGGGGAGGGACATCCTGGGGCTGGGCCGGACACTGGGGCTAGGCTGGACTTCCTGGTGCTGGTCTGGGGGAACTCCCCCGGTGCCAGTAGAGGGTACCCTGCGTGTGCCCTAAGCGGGCGGTGCGCGTTGCCGCAGGCTCGTAACGCAGCGGAGCAGGCGGTGATGATGCAGCGGGTGGAGCAGCACAACCGGGCCCGGCCGCCGGAGGACCGGGTCCGCACGTCGGTGGAGCTGGAGAAGCCGCGGGAGGAGCATTTGCTGCTGATGGGGCTGGGCGACGTGGTGCGGGGCAGGGTTATCGGTGGGACGGGGCAGGACTATTGGCTGGGGACGGAGTTAGGGACGTGGCCACCGGCCCTGGGCGGGAAGGGGTGGCAGGAGTTGGGGCGTAGGTATGGGGCGGGATGGGGGGCAGCCAGGGGCAAGAGGTGCATTTGGAGCAATGTGGTGCAGGCGGGGGTGGGAGTGGGTACTGTCTGTGCAAAGGTGTGGCAGTGTGGGGTGCAGTTGGGGTCTGGAGTGCAGCTGGGGTCTAGGAGGGATAGTCGGGGTCAGGAGAGTAGTTGGGAGAGCAGAGTCGAGGGAGCAGTCACGGTGCTGAAAGAGCAGCAGGTACTGGGAGTGTTGGGGTGTCTCCCCCGCCTCAGCCCCTCTCCTGCAGGTGTTCATCAGCAAGGACTTGGCCCAGCACTTTGGGTACCGGTCGGCCCCCGAGGCGCTGCAGGGGTTGCGCAGCCGCATCCAGCCAGGGTACGGGGGGTCCAGGGGTGCTGGTTGGGGCAGGGAGGGCACGGCTGCACCCCACACTCACCCCTCTGCCCCCCAGCGCCACACTGATCTGCGCCTGGGCTGAGGAGGGGGCCGATGCCATAGGGCCAGGTGGGGAGCTGGTGCACTCGGATGCCTTCCCCCCAGAGACCCTCGTGGACACACTGGGGGCTGGGGACACCTTCAATGCTGCTGTCATCTTTGCACTCTCGGCAGGTGAGTGCGTGGCACAGCCACAGCATAGCCATGGGTCACCATGGCCACAGCAGAGCCACAGCTCAGCTTGGCCCAGCCTGGCCTAGCAGGACTGACCCCCCCATTCCCCAGGGAAGACTCTGCAGGATGCCATTACCTTCGGCTGCCGCATTGCAGGCAGGAAATGTGGGATCCAGGGCTTCGATGGCATCGTTTAAGCTAAGCACCCATTCCCATGCCCTGCCCCATGCCACTGCCCGCACATCTGGCACACCCAACCCCACTGCCAATAAACCCCCGCACTGACCCATGGCCTTCTCCTACATTGATCCAGGTGAGCACTGGTGGCAGCGCCTGTATTTCCCTGTCCTGGCATGTTACAGGAGCAAACGGTGTAACCCTGGCACTGCTGCAGGATGGGGGACCCTCCCCCATGCTAAGTGCCCTGAGTGGGGCAGGGAGCAGCCCAGTCTGCAGCCCTGCTCTCTACCCCTCCCCGGGATCCCCCCATACTAGGGCTGTCTCTTCCTCAGGGGCTCCAACCTCAGGAGCTTCAGTTTTGGGGGTGTCCTCTGCCTTCATGAGTCCAGCATCGGGGGATTCAGCCTGCGGTGTTTCAGCCTGAAGGGCTTCCTGCCCCTCTTTCTGCTTCTCTGCTGGCCCGAGTCCTGGGCCATTCACCCCCATGTTCCTCCCAAGCACCTCTGGTTCCCTGGGATGTGACAGGAGGGGTGGCTCTGGGGCTCCCTGCTCTTGGCCAGGCGACAGCAGCCGCTTAGGGGGGTCAAGCAGCAGTTCACGGGGGTTGAGGAGCCCATCTTTGCTCATGTCCTGCCTCTCCAAGGCTTGGTCCACCAGCACAGCCACCTACGGGGACAGGGATAGGATGAGAGCCCAGCCCTGGGGCGCTGTGAGGTGCAAGGGGCCAGCCCCCCAGGATGTACCATGTCAAGGTGTGGCTGCCTGCCATTCCGCTGTGCCAGCACTGTGCCCAGCAGCTGCAGCAGCTCCAGCCCATCCAGATGCCCGTTTCGGTCATGGTCATGCAGCACAAAGAGATAGAGCAGGACTGTGGGGCACAGGTAACAGTGTGGCTGGGACTGCGTTCCTGCCCCTATTGGACCCCCAGTACCCTACTGCTGCACAGCCTTACCCTGCTCCCGTGTCAGGGCCTCCACATCCTGCTCCAGCATTGCCAGACTCTGCACTGTGCTCTGCAGCAGCCTGGGGACAGTCGGGCTGTAGGCAGGCACACACCACCCCTGCCCCACAGCATGCCCTATGGCCAACCCAGGGCTGCTGCGTCCTACAGCTGTCCTCAGGAGCACCCTCCTCCACAGCCAGCTGGGTGCTGCCCGTGCCTCCCACCCTCTAGTTGACCCCCCCGATCCACAGCCCCCAGTGCCATGGAGCTCCTGTGGGGCTCCCATGGGGTAGGGACTCACAGCAGTGTGGGCAACTCCAGGCTGAACAGGTCAAAATCAGGATCCAGCCTCATGGCTGCAGGGTCCTCAGGCCTGGCCAGGAGAGAGTGGGGTTACCTGTGTCCGTGGGGTGGAGGGCACAGTGCCTGCCCTGGCCTGGCCTAATGTCCTCACACAGCATCCCCTCCATCCATGGCCCCCACAGCCCTGTATCAACCCCAGCGACCACTGGGTACCCCAGGACCATCCATTACTGTGCATCCCGTCTGTACCTGTGTACCCAAACCTCACCTGCGCACTCTCTTCACCCATGAACCCTCCCCCTTACACCCCCTCATTCATACCTGTGCCCCCCGCCCTGCGGGGCAGCCCGTGCCCCCGGGACCAGCAGCAGCAGCAGCAGCAGCGCCAGCGCGTTCCTCATCCAGCGACCCGAGGCTACAGTCGGGTGAGCGGGGCAGGGTGAGCGCCCCTGGGGGAGGTCACAGTCACGGCCCCGTCCACCCGTCCCGGAGGGCTCCGGTACCGCCAGTCCCCCTGCCCTGCCGGGAGGGAGCGGCAGCCGTGGGAGGGGCGGGGAGCTCCGTAAAGCGTCCACCGGGTCCAGCGCGGCGAAGACACGCTGGCACCGGGCGGGGGGCGGAAGCGCTGGGCGGTGCACAGTGTACGCTGCCTGCACTGCTCACACGCACGCATCCCGTCCCGCCGTGAGGAGCACTCGCTGCACACACAGGGCAGCCCCCTAACACCCCACGATGCCGCCCGCCGCGCCTGAGGCCGAGTAGCTGACACGTCCCCCGCCAACGCCCGCCGACCCTCCGCCGGTATCCCCGGGGTGAGCCCGGCCGCGCCCCGCCGGCAGCGCAGGGGTTAACCGGCACCCGTGCCAGCACCGAAAGAGGCGGCGGCCGTGACACGCACCCGCTCCGGGGCGAGACCACTGCGGCGGGCGGGGCACGGCGCAGCGCGGCTGCTACGGGGCGGGGTTATAGCCCGGGGGCGTGGCCAGGGCGTTTGGCAACCGCGCACCCGCTCGCCCCGGCAGGCACAGACGCGACAGCGCTGCTTTCACCCTCCGGTTTTAATAGCGGCGGTGGGGCTGGAGGACCCCTCTTTTCCAGGGCCTGCCCCACATGGTCGCCAGCACCGTCTCCAGGCTCCCCCATTCACACCCCGAGCGCCAGCGCCGGGGCTGGTCCCTCATCCTCTTCACAGTCTGCATGGGGTGGGCCCGGGCCGTCGGAGTCTGCCCAGCCCCAGGGGCTCATCCCGGGCCGGGGGTCTACAGGAAGCCCGGGAAGGCGAGCTGCAGCAGCAGGATGGCAGCCACGATGAGCCCGGCACACAGCAGCAGCAGCAGCCAGACAGGGAGGGAGCCTGTGGAGCAGAGCAGTGTGAAGGCAGGTGACCACCATCTGGCCTGGAAGATACGCCCAGTGCTGCAACAGCCCCCTAGCACCTACGTCGGCTGGGCAGAAGGTGCAGCTTGCAGCGGCTGTCAACAGCCACGCTGAGCAGGGCAGCCTCATTCCCTGCCAGCAGCTCTCGTCCATGCCGGCTCTCAGGGACGAAAGCCATGTCTGTCACCACGATGCCATGTGCCTCCTTCACATAGTACAGCCTCTACAGGGAAGGACAGTGCAGCCCAGGAAGGGAGGAGGCTGCTGTGGCTGCCCCTGTACCCATCCCCACCAAGCCCCACTACTCACCTGCAGTGAGAAGGCGATGTGGATGGCAACAGAGCCTGTCACTGTGCCTAGTCCCAGGAAGGTACCTGAGTCACTGCAGGGGGTCAGACAGTGAGCAGGAGCTGCCACAACCCCCACCCCATGCCTGGCCAGCCCTGAGGTACCTTATGGAGAGGCAGGAGATGACCTCAGTGCCACAGGGCCGGGTGAGCAGTGGCAGGAAGCTTTTCCCATCCCACTTGGTAAGGTAGCAGGGTGGGGGGCGGCGCTCCCGCTTGTGGGGCACCTGAACAGTGTAGAGCCGCAGTGCCCCAGCATTGTCCTCCACTGCCCCAAACCTGCCATGGGAGAGTGAAGGGTGCATCAGTTGCCACGGCCAACAGTGACACCCCCATTCCCTTCACATGGGGCTGCAAAGGCGGACTCTGCTGTCAGCTCCCCACCCTCACCGGCAGGCCTGGTACCGGTAAGCCTTGTCAGGGATGCCAGGCAGGTTCTCGTTCCAGCACAGCCCCATCACCAGCTGGTCCTGCTGCCACACGCAGCACTGGAAGTCTCGTCCAGCCGTCACCACCTGCGTGCAGAAAGTGCAGTTGTATGAGGAGGGCTCTTCCCACAGGGCCAGGGAGAAATCTGATGCCCACCTTGTTGTCAGGGCCCAGCGCAATATCTTCGATCTCCCCATCATGGGCTTTGAACTCCAGTGTCTTCTTCATGCTGGGAAACTGCAAGGGCAGAGCACGCGCTGGAGCTGTGTCTCACAGGACGGGACCCACGGCAGCCCCAGAATTCCTGGGTAAGATGCAGCATTACAGAGCCACAGGCACTGCTGACGCGGCACTGCTGGGGCCAGACCTTCCCCACCAGGCACACAACAATACTGGCATGGTAATATCCAGCCTCAGCTCCCCCCACCTACCTCCCAGAGGCGAAGGAAGCCATCAGCACCACCGGTGACAAGCAGTGAGCAGTCTGCATTGAACCTTACAGCTTTCTGCAAGGCGTCGGGGCTGAAATCTGTGCGGACACTGTGCAAACTCTCTACCATCACCTCACTCGTCTGATTCTGTGTCTCATCTTGCCCCACCGGGCTGGGGCCCTTCCGCTTCCGCGGCCCCTTCTCCCTGCTGCCTGTGGCGGGGCAGACAACACAAAGCCCTGACACAGCTCCCCCACGGGCCCGGGAGAACACGGGCAGGGCTGGGAGGGGTCCAGATCACTGCCCCATCCCCACAGACCATCCCACTCCACCCACAACAGGTGTTGTCCCTGCCTCCCCGGGGAGTAGCGGGCTCTCACCGCCATGTCCGGCGGCGGGCTCGGGCGCCCGCAGGCTAAACCGCAGGATGTGGCAGCTGGCGTCCTGTCCCGCTGCAATGATGTCGTCGGCCAGCGCCATGGTCATGGTGGCGCGGGTCTCGGTGTCGTGCGAGTGCAGCAGGGAGGCGCTGAGCTTCCCGCCGATCTGCTCCAGCTGCAGGAAGTGCTGCAGGACGGTGCAAGGCCTCAGACCAGGCTCCGCGGAGGGGCCCTGCCCGCGGCGGGGCCCTGCTCACACCGAGGCCGGCCCCGCGGCCTCGACCCCCGCCGGCCCCGCCAGGGCCGCTGCCCCCCTCCACCGCCGCGCCCAGCCGCGTCAGTCCCTGGTCCTCCCGCCCGACTCCCGTGTTCCCGCTACGCCGCACCACGCCATTGCGGATGCCGGTCTTGGCGGCGCCGCCGCCGCCAGCGGTGATGGCGAGCGGCCACCGCGGGTGCAGCCGCACGGTGTAGAGCGGAAACGGCGCCCGGTACAGCTCCGCCGGCCGCCGCGGGGCCATGGCTACGCCGCACACGTCACCGCGACGCCCCGGCGCTGCGTCACGGCGCCACGGGCACGCACCCCCCGCCCCACACAATGGCTCCGCCCCTCCGATCCTAACTCCGCCTCCTATAGGCTAGCCCCTCCTCAAGGCAAAACCCCGCCCCGACCCAAAGCCCCGCCTCCTGCGGTCCGAGTCCCGCCCCTTGCTGCACAAGCCCCGCCCACCCATGGTCGAGGGCGTCCCCCTCGTGTGCCCCACGGAGGGCTGGGGGCCGCCTCCCTGCAGCGCAGCCAAGCAGCACCGCCGTACCCCCTGCCCCTGGGCAGCAGAGCCTCCCCAGGCCCCTCTCCGGTCCCCCTGTGCTGCCCAGCGGGGCTGTCCCAGCAGTCATGATTCCCCCATCCCGCCCCACAGCTGCGGGGGAGCATCCGCAGCCCCACAGGCACCAGGAATAGGCGTCCCTGCTCAGCCTTGCCACCTCCCATGCACCCACAGAGCCCTATGGGCAGTGGAGGTGGTGGGGTAGCCAGGTCACCCATGGGTCTCCCCAGCTCCAGGACTCCCTGTGGCCTCACTTCTCTCCCCCTCAATGCAGCCCTGACCTGGCTGCCCCCAGAGGGTCCTCACCCTGCTGCAGTGTGGGGTGGATGGGTCCATGGGTGCACTGTGATGGCTCCCATTCCACAGGTAGCATTGTGGGCCTCACATGAGGTTGGGGCCCAGCGTGACCCCATGTGAGCACCCTGCCTGGGGCTTGAGGCTTGCTGTGGGGCCTTACCATGGGGCTAGTGGGGCTGCAGCGGGCAGCCACAGCAAGGGGAGGCCAGGACAGCCAGAATCCTCCTGCTCATCCTAGTGCCAAGGAGGGGGACACGAGGCTCCTGCCGAGGCAAGGATGTGGGTCAGGCTCTGCCAGTAGGTATTGGGGGGATGCACCAGAGCTCCCCAGGCACCTGGCCCACCAGTGCTTCACAATGCTGAGGCACAGGCAGGGACTGCCACGGCAGCATGGCTGAGACAGGCAGTGGTGGGCACGGAGCAGGGCTGTCTGCCATGCACAGCAGCTTCCCAGCCCCTGCCTCCTCCAGCTCCCGCGGGAGGCAAAGAGGCACCCAGCACTGCAGGGCAGGTGCAGGCAGGGTGCCGGGCCCCCCCTCTGCCCACCAAAGAGCCCCCTGGCTGCAGGACAGGTAAGGAGCCGGCCGAGCACAGGAGTAGGACCCCCGGGGGTGTCTGCCATGGGGAGGGGGAGCATGTCAGGCAGGTCAGGGGCAGAACTATGGGGTGCAGGTGGGGGGCATGGGCTGCCCCCAGGCACATGGCTGGGTCTGAGGTTCACCAGCTCCCCAGTACAGGCAGCACTGCAGAGGGCAACGCTGTCCTTGTCCCCATCGCAGTGCCCAGCCCACCCTCAGCCCCTGCCTCTGCAGAGCGTCCCCTCTACCCCCAGACGTGGCTCAGGAGCGAAGCCATGTGCGGGGCCTTCCTGTTGCTGCAGGCAGCGCTGCCCACCGTGCCCCCCAGCACTAAGCTCTGCAAGCTCAACGTCCTTGTCCTGGCCACCAGCTACATTGCCCACCTCAGTCATGTGCTGGACTGAGGGCCTCCCCCGCCTCTGCCCTCCTGCCTGCCCCACAGACACCCACTGCTGCACCTACTCCAGGTGAGAGCCCTGCCTCGGGCCCCACTGTCTCCCGTGCATGATGGCAACACCCAATCCCTGGGGTCCCCTGTTACCCCCTGTGCACACCAGCACTACCCATCCTGATCCCCGGGGCCCCCAAAGCACGACACACCTGGTCTCTGGGGTCCCCACCACGTCCCATGCACACTAATAGCTGGTCCCCAGTGTGCCCCACACACACCAGCACTCACTCCCCAGGGTTCCCCATCCCAGGTGTAGGTCACCCACAGAAGGATAAGGTGCTGCCATCCCAGCCCCTATCCTGCTCCCTCTCTTGCAGAAGTGGCCAATGCACTCCTGTCTCTACACTGGCTCTTGGGGGGCACCCAGCTCTGGCCCCTCTGGGGCAGCCACAGCCACCAACAGCCATGAGCCCACAGGGTTGGGAGACCCCAGGCTGGCACCAGGGGACGGCCTCCATGAACCCCTGGTGCCCATGGCCACGAGACCCTCACATCTGATTCTTTCCCACAATGCTGTGCCCCAGGATAGGGATCGGGGCAGGGGGAATGGTGCTTGATCCACACCCCCATCCTGCATAGGGGTCCACAGGCACATCGCAGGCAGTGGTGGCCCAGGGACACATGGAGTGGGCTCTGGTGGGGCTGGTGCTGTGCCTCCCACCTTGCCTGGGGACAGGGGAGGCTGGGGGCTGCCTGGCCTGACCCACAGCAATAAATCTGCAGCCAGCATTCACCTCCTGCCTCCTGGCTGCAGGATGCCCCCCACAGGATCCCAGGGACACCCAGAAGGTGGGGAGAGGGGGGGGAGGTCCTGCACCCCCCAACCATGAAGCAGCTGTCCCCCAGCTATACTCACCGTGATCCCCTGGCCAGGCCCCACCACCGGCTTCATGCTCTGGGACAGGGGTCAAGGCTGCAGCCATAAATCTGCCCCAGCCAATGAGGCCCCCGCACCCAGGGACAGGGCCCCCCCACTGCTGTGGGAGATGGGACCTCCATGTCCCCACAGCTCCTGGAGCAGGCTGCTCCTATGTTTGCACTCTAGAACCATTTATTGGGGGACAATGGAAACAGAGATGGGTGATGGGGGGCTGGATGGAGGGGGGGCGCTCGGCGCCCTGAGGGGTCCTTGGCAGCCCCCAGCCTGGGAGCTGTGTGTAAGGCACATGGCCAGGCCGGGGCACCGGGCAATGTCCTGGCCTGGGGGGAGTGGGGAGCACCGCTCTGACACCCCCAGCCTGTGGTCCCACAGCCCCCAGGGCTCAGGGCCAGCCCAGAGGGGGGTGCAGCCTGATCAACCCCTCCAGCAGAGATCCAGCCCCCCAGCTCTTTGGTGCTCCCCTGGTATCCGGGGGGGGGGGAGTTTGTGCCCCCTGGCCAGGGGGGCACTGGGGAACGGCTTGGGGGGTGTCTGGGACCCCCATGCCAAGGGGGGTAGGCTCAGAAGGAGGTTTCCTGCACAGCGTAGGCAGGGGACCCAGCTGCACGAATGTAGCCCTGTCCTTCCTCTTGCTCCTGCTGCCCAGGGCCGGGGAGGGGCAAACCATTGGGCACCCCGTTGGTCTTCACCACTGCATCCACAGTGTCGGCGTTCTGTGGGGACAGAGCAGGGGGTAGCAAGAAGATGACCCCATGTCATCCCCCCCACCAAGCAAGGTCCTGTGGTCTGTGACCCTCACCTCGTCAGGGAAGCCCACCCCACAGCAGAGCTTCTGCCGGTACTTCCGGGGCAGGCAGCAGAGCAGGTGAGGCAGCACAGGGTAGATGGTGCGGGGGTCCACAGATGCTGCCGGTGTGGGGCCTGAGAGGCAGAGTGGAGGGTGAGCAGAAGGGAAGGGGGGTCGCCAGCAGCCCCCCACCACACCACACTCACCGGTAAGCAGGCTGACCAGGAGCCCCACCACGATGACAGTGGTGGAGTTGTGGGCACTGTACCACATGTAGGACAGGCTGTAGAACTTCTGCAGCCCTGTGGGGCTGGGGAAGGTGGGTGTGAGTTGGGGGGCACGGAGCAGCACCCCCATCCTGCAGCACCCTGTCCCCAAGCCCCCCCCCCGCTCACCTCTTAGGGGCCTCCGTGGGGGCCAACAGGGTAGTGGCGAGGATGGTGGTGAGGTTGCCCATGGTGGGGAGCATGGTGCTGTTGGGTGGGGGGGTCCCTGCTGCTGCCCCCATGCTGCGCACCAGGCTTCCAATGCCCACCCAGAAGGCCATGGCCAAGCCGGCCAGCAGCCCCACGACAGCACCCTGCACAGGGGGACAGGGGCGGTGCTGACCCCCAGACAGGCTCGGGGTGCCCCAGCCCCCCAGCACTGCCCCATTCCGTGGGCTACATGCCCCAGCCAGGAAGGGAGACACTCACCGTGGGGTTGGCACAGGGAAAGAACATGCCGAGGCAGAAGAGCCCCAGAAGCGGACCTCCCACCATGCCGAAGATGCTGATAGCAGCCTGTGGGGATGCAGCCCTCAGCACCAGACCCTTGCTCAGCTGCCCCCCTGCTGTGTGCCCGAGATGGGGGGGATCCCCTGCACCCCCACCCCTACCTGCAGCACGGGGCCCAGCATGGAGGACATGTAGGCCATCCCCAGGCACAGTAATCCATAGCCAAGAGCTGGGAAGAGCAGAGCAGGGGGGTCACAGCAGCACTGAGGACCCCACTGACCCCAGCGCCAGCCCCCCCGTGCCATCCCTCCCTCACCCAGAAGCTTGGAGAGCAGCGTGGCCTGCGCCTCCGACAGCCGTGGGCAGTGCGGCCGGACCAGGTCCTCCATTGTCACCGTGGCCAGCGAGTTGAAGGCAGAGGAGATGGTGCTGGGGAGCAGAGAGAGGTGTTGGGGGTTCGGCTGGGGACCCTTCAACCCCAGGGTCCTCCCAGCTCACCTGAGGCACCCGCTGAAGAGGCAGGCAACAAAGAGCCCGGGCAGCCCCGGGAGGTCCTGCAGCACATCCATCACGAAGTACAGCACCAGCTGGGGAAGGAGGGTGAGTGCCCATGGGGCTGGGAGCACCAGAGAAGCCTAGGGAGGGGGGTCCGGCCCCATGGGCTGCAGGAGATGAGGGACCCAGTGCCCACCTGGTCGGATGACTTGGGGCGGTTGCCGGGTGCCAGCGTATGCTCCCGGTCATAGACGAACATGACGAGGCCGGTGAGGCAGCTGAGGCAGAGGACGATCTGCTGGCAGGGGAACACGGCATAGCAGGAGCTGCAAGCACCAGGCAGGCATTAGAGGCTGGGGGGCTGGCAGCGGAGGGACCCATCCCAGCCATGGGACCCCCAGCCTGGGCCCCACTCACAGCTTGGCCTCCCGCTCGCTGCGGGAGCTGAGGTACCGCTGCACCTGTGCCTGGTTCACCCCATACAGCGACAGCATCATGAAGACTCCCCCCACTGCCAGGGTCCAGAAGGTGTGCCGTTCAAAGGGGTCGGGGTTCAGGCTGCAGAGAGGCACATGCAGTGGGTCATGGCACCGGGTCCTCACTGGCACCCCTCACACCATGCCATGGGAGTGGATAGGATCCCTCTTCCCCAACCCACACCCTTCCCGGCTGCCCCACGGTGTGAGGTGGGGCACCTGGCCCCTGATGGGTGAAGGCATCTTGGCACAGGACACGCTGGGGCTGTGGCACTTACTCGATGCCAGAGATCTTGCCCTCTTGCTCGGCCAGGTGCCAGACACGAGCCATGCCACCCACCCGCTGGGCGCCCACCACGATGACGGCCAGCTGCCCAGCGAACATCACCAGGGTCTGGAAGACGTCGGTCCAGATGACAGCCTTCAGCCCGCCCTGCATAGGCACAGCGCCCATCACCACAGCCCGGCACAGGGCACCCCACAGCCGGGCAGCGGTGGTGGGACAGGACTCACCAATGTCGTATATAGCGTGCAGACCAGCCCCATGGTGAGCACTGCGCTCCAGAGGTCAAAGCCCGTCACTAGAAGCGATGGAGGCCATTAACAGGCTGCACCCTCATGCAGGATGGGGCTTCCAGCATTGCCCCCCTGCTCCTCTCCTCCTTACCTGCATTGAGAGCCAGCGCAGGCGCATAGAGTACCACCCCCATGTAGATGACCTGCAGGGAGAGCAGCGCTGCAGCCATGCATGGCCCCACCCCATCTGCCACAAGCCCCCATCCCACTCACCATCTGGAAGATAAAGGTGATGGTGCCGAAGATCCGCACCGTCTTATTGAAGCGCAGCTCCAGGTACTGTGGGGAGATGGGTCAGGGCATGGAATGTGGGGATCTGAGCAGCAGGGATGATCCCCATGCCCCCCCCCCCCCCCCCAGCAGGAAATTCGGGGAGGGGGAAACTGGCCCTACTCCCAAAACTCAGCTCCTGCTGCCACAGAGACAACAGAGCTATCCAGTGCTGCTTGGGGTGAGGGGAGTCCTGTCTGTGAGGCATGGCGCCAGTATGGAGGCACCAGGCAGTGAAGGACCAGGAGCCAAAACCCCACTGGGCAGCATCAACTCATCCCCCTCCCAGGGCCATCACCTGCCTACACATCTTGCTGGGTGCTGGGCACCATGGGTGCCCCTGTTCCCACTCACCTCATAGGTGCTGGTGATGCGCAAACGGTAGAAGACGGGGATGAAGATGTGTGCTGGGATGAGTAGCCCCAGGAAGTAGGAGCAGCCGAGGAACCAGTACTGGGTGCCGAAGTGGTAGATCTCAGCCGGCACGCCCAGGATTGCCACGGCCGACTGGAAAGTGGCAAGCAGGGAGAGGGCGACAGGCAGGAAACCCATGTTGCGGTTGGCCAGGAGGAATTCCTGCACCGTGCGCTGCCGGCCCCCGCTCAGTGCATAGAAGAGCCCGATGGCTGATGACAGCAACAGCAGCAGCGCGAAGATGCTGTAGTCGATCACTGTGAACTCCATGGTGAGCTTCTCCTCTTGCCTCTGCCCTGCAAGACCTGTCGCTGCCCGGCCACCCACCCCAGCTGTGCCCTGTTGGCCTCATGGACACACTGAGCCCTGGTGGCTGCCCTGGCAGCACGTCCTGGTTGGCATCTCCCTGGCGCTTGGAGCTGCAGGAGGAAAGATGGGTGTCGGCGTTGAAGCTGTGCCTGACACTGCAGGGACCTTCGCTCACTCCTCTGTCTCAGTCTCAAGGACCCGGTGCGGGGGGGCCAGTCTGGATGAGGAAAGTTCCTTTAACCCTTCTCCTCCCTCTAGGCTGGGCTCGGCACCATTCACCCACCCACCTGTCCTCCGAGGGAGACAGGAGCCTCTTCGCACTGAAACTATGGTTGCAAAACCAGTCCCACCCAGTACCCCGGCGGCACTGGCCCGGCCAGCCCAGCAGAACCAGCCCCACATTGCCAAACCCAACACCACCATCCCCTGTGGGACAACCCCACCAAGCCCGGCAGCACTGATCCTGCCTCGGCCAAGCACAACATGACCCAACCACCCCGGTACCGTGTAGCTCCGCCAAGCCCTGCAGAGCTGCCCCCGGAGTAAGAGCCCAGCCAAGCCCAACACAACCACCCAGCCCTGGCGCCAGCCACCAGCCCTGGGGGCAGTGCAGCCGCCTCCACAGTGGCCCACCCAGCAGGATCAGCCTCGCCAGCACCCCCCAGCCCTATGGAATCCATGGATGAGGCTGGGGAGGGTAAAGGGATGTGCAGTGGAGCCCCAGCTGTGCTGGCGAGAGGGTACATGAGGGAGCCCCGTCCCCCTTGCCCAGCTGAGCATAAGATGACCCTCATGACAAGCATACAGCTAGGGATGGACAGACAGATGCACAGGGGGAAGCCGACAATCCCAGAGATGTTCGCAGCAGCTGGATGATCTGATCTCTGAGCCACTGCTGGCCCTGGCATCTTCTGCCCTGCCACAGGCAGATCCTCAGGGTTCCTGGCTCATTCATAGCAGAGAGAACGGGGCAGCCAGGCAGTCCCAGGAACAGTGCAGAGAGGGGGCACGAGCAGAGACCCCTGCTTCCACCTCCACCAGCAAGCAGAGAGCTGTGGGGAGCAGTGGCCCAGGCACCAGCAGAGCAGGCGGTGCAGGATGCAGAGGCACCCCATACCTCTGTTCCGGTGGGGCAGCATTTGGGGCTGCCATGGGACACAGAGCAGGCTGCCTGTGGTGGGAAGCTGGTGCGGTGCCTGCCGTGATCTGCAGAGGAATGCCTGCCCATGGCATACTTGGTGGGATTAGGGCTGGCACTCATGCACCCAGCGCAGCCTGCCCGAGCCTGCCCGCCGCAGGGACAGAGCGGGCTGGCACGGGGCCCCGCAGCAGTGCCAAAGCCAACACCAGCGGGAAGGGGGTGAGAGGGCAGCGCCTCCCGCCTCGCACACCACCGTCCCTGTCCTTGCCTTGGCCACGACACCACCCAGTGCAGCGGGTCCAAGGTCACTCCACCGCATTCCACTGCGAGGACTAAACACAAGGCAGGCAGTGGCGTGGTCCTTGACGGCTGTTCCACCGGCGGCTGCTCCACTGCCTCGGCAGCCTTGGCTCAATGCTACCCCCTCGGTGTCCCTGAAGCCCCATCGTCCCAGCCCCGCAGTCCCCATCTCCACTCCTTGTCCTACGGTAACTCTACCGGTGGCCCTGCTGCCCCCTCCAGTCGGTCCCCATGTTCCCAGCCCACCCCACTCTGCCCCCAAAGCTCAGCACACACCCTGTCCGTGGCCACGCTCCTTCTTCCTGTATCCTCTTGCCCTACTTCCCCGTGTACCCGGTGACCCTGCCCGGGGCCCAACTCTCCTGTCCCCGCTGTCCCCCCCCTCCCCATACACCTCCCTGTCTCCCCACGTCGTCGGTGACACCGTTAGAGGAGGAGGAAGCACCGCCCAGCCCCAGTGCCCCGGGGTGCCCCGAGGACACGGCCCTGCTGCCCTTCCCGGTGCCCCCGGTGCCCTCAGCCCACTGCCCGATCCCTTTTGTCCCTGGACCCAGACCCGGCTCCCCGGAGCCCCAGCGCCGCCGGTGGCGCGGCCGCAGGACGAGCCCCGACCCCACCGTAGCCAGAGGTCCGGGCCCAGCAGGGGGGGCTCCAGTGACCTTGAGGGGCCACAGCGGCCCCGGTGCGACACTCACCGGCGGCGGCCACCGGCGCGATGGAGCCCAACCCACGTGCAGTCGCGACAGCCGCCAGCGCGCACTGATGACGCACGGAGAGAGGCAGCTCTGCCCTCACGGACATTTCCGCCCGGTCCTGCACCTCCCGCGCTCCCTGATGGCGTCACGGCCACTACCGGGGACCCCCCCCCCGAAGTGCCCCCCTGGCCCCGCCACGCTCCACTGCCCCGGGCGGGTCACCGCGCCCTGGCGGCCCCTCGCCGCGGGAAACCCCCGCACGGCCTCGCCCGGGGTCCAGAGGGCACCGAGTGCAGACACACAGCGAACCGACCCCGCCGGCCCCCGGCATAGGCGAGAGCTCCTCACCGGGCCCGCCAGAGGGTGCTCTCGCAGCGGGCGTGTCCGACGGGGCGGTCCCGGAAGAGCTCCGGGAGGGGCGGGGGCGCCGAGGCCATGGGGCCATTCCTCATCATCCTGCTGCTGCCGCTGCCCTCCACCATCGGCGGCGCGGCGGTGAGCGGCGGGGCCGGGGCGGGGCCGGGCCACCGGGGGCGGGGTTGCCGGGACACCGTCCCGGGGATCGGGCGGTGTCGCTGTGGCTCGGAGGCTGCCCGGGACATAATACCGGGAACCGGGGGGTTCCCGACCCCTCCTTTTTTCCCCCTCCAGGTGTGCGGGAGCTGCCCCGGGCCACTGCGGAACGGCTCCGTCGTAGCCCAGTACTGTGCATCCCGGCCCGGCACAGAGAGTGAGGGGCGCTGCTGCTGGGAACGGGGCGTTCGTCCAGAGCGCTTGCTGGGGTACGGGGAGGGGGTGTCAGCGGGTACATGATGGAGGGTCATGGTGAGGGACCGTGCCTGGCGCAAGGGGGTGTAAGGTGCCAGGCACATGCCACCCCCCAACTGCTGTTACCCCCCCCAGGCTGGACCTGAGTAACTGCTCCCTGCAGAACCTCCCCCCGGGACTGGCTGAGGCTTCCTCCACTGCTGTCCTGTGAGTCTGTGTCCCTCTACGTGCCCCCATGTGCAGCCTCTGCTCCCCTCTGGGGGCTGGGGGACACCCCACGGCCGAGCCTTGGCGTTCTCTGTTTCCACTGTCGCGATTGCCAGGCTCCCACCCCCCCGGGGTGTGTTGATTCACTGGTGAGCCCTGTGGGAACCTCCTGAGGCTCAGCCAGGTTAAGGGCAGGGTGCTGCAGTCGGTCGGGGCGGTCGTACCAATGTGGTGTGTGCTTGCAGAGACCTGACAGAGAACCCCCTGACGACCCTCCCCAATGGCTCCTTCCTGGGCTTCACCCTCCTGCAGCTGCTGTGAGTACAGGGGTGGGCCGAGGGGGCCTGTGGTGGTGCCAGTGCTGTGCTCTGTTCACCAGCACAGTGCTGGTGCTGAGCTCTGCCCCTCAGAGCGCTGCCACTGCCACTGGGGTGCCCAGGTGGGAACAGCACCTGGGAGGAGGTGACGACGAGCGGGAGCAGCCGGCTCTGTCAGGGCCAGAGGAACTCCTGCAACAGCTCCAGTGAGCCCGGTAAAGCGGGGAATGGCAGGTGGGAGGTTGGGGGAGCAGGGCCTGGCTTGTGACCCTCTGCTCTGCTCCACCAGCCTGGCCGTGCCCTGAGAACTCTGCCTGTGCCCCAGATGGTCCTGGCCTCGTCCAGTGCCTCTGCAACAGCCCCTTCCACGGGTACAAGTGCCTGCGTGAGGTGAGTGTCTGCAGGACGAATACCCCCCCAGGTCCTCCCCCGCCAGAGCACCATGGGGCAGTGGGGCTGCATAGGGGACCACTAACTGCTGTTTGCTTACAGGGCACATTCCCAGTGCTGCTCTTCTGTGGAGTACTGGGAGCCACCACCCTGTCTCTGGCCCTCCTGCTGTGGGGCACCCAGCGCCGGAAGGCCAAGGCCCCCTGAGAAGACCTCCTAAGTGAGGAGGGTGCTCTGTACCTCAGAGGAGCCTGTGCCACGGGATCACGGTTACTGAGCAGCAGCGGGAGATGAATAAAGCCCTGGGCAGCCTCTCCGTGTGTCTGTGTGATTGCACCTGGGACAGGGATTGGAAATCAAGCACAGCGTGGGCTGTGGGGAGCTTGGGGCGGCATGTGCAGTGTGGAAACCACGCCTGAACTGAGGGAACATGAAACCACAGGGAGCCTTGGTGGGAGCAGAGCGAGACGGGACAAAGGCAGGAAACACCCCGCGAGGAATATAACGTCCGGTTCCTCACGCGGCAGGTACAATGCTCCGCAGCCGCGTCCCATACGCGAACGTTCGCGGGACTGTGCAAACGGAGACATAGTAAGAGCGGCTTTAGAGGCAAAGTACTGTAACGAACAGTGATCTGCAAGCTATTAAGAAGCACCTACTCTGTAAACCAATCTGTTGTTTGAACCGCTTAAATCAGGGGAGAGCGCGAACGCAGTCCCCCACTACCACAAATTATGCAGTCGAGTTTCCCGCATTTGGGGAAATCGCAGGGGTCAGCACACCCGGAGTGCAAGGGATGAGCCTCGCCCTGGGAAAACCACCTGCTTGATCATGGTGTCTCCCCTGCCAGGTAAGTATGACTGCCCTTCGCGCACCCACCGCCGCACGCCGCACAACACACACACACCTCACGGACACCGCACGCCGCGCTACCGGGACGAGCTCCATCCCGCACCCAGTTGCCACCGCGGCCGCACCGCGCACCTGCCCAGAACCCTCGCACGCCCGAGCCCACGGGGGCTGTTTGGCGTCGCGGCTGTCCCGTGATGCCTCGCGGTGCTCGTTTGCATGGACACGCCCCCACACCAGGGCCCCGCCCCTCACCGATGGGCACCGGGACACCCCACCGGAGCCTGTTGTCGGCCCGGTAAATGCCGCGGCACGGTGCCGTGTCCCGAGGTGTCCGCCCGCGGAGCCGAGCAGCACAGCGACCCGTGCTGGTGGAGGGGTGGAGCTGGTGAAAGGTGTTTAAAGGATAATGCCACTATCAGGGGCAGTCAGCACAGGTTCACCAAGGCCAAGTCCTGCTTAACTAACCTTTGAACCATTTCCAGGCATCCTGTTGCTGGATCCCAGGGAGAAAAGCTCAGCTCCTCCCTCCCCGTCCTCTCCTTAGGGAGCTGCAGAGAGCAACAAGGTCACCTGTCAGCCTCCCTCTCTCCAAACAAGACCAGCCCCGAGTGCTCAGCCACTCCTCACAGGACAATGCTGCCAGCCCTTCACGGCTTGCTTGTCCCCTTCTGGGCAAATCTGAAGATCTTCATGTCCTCCAACGGTGGGACCCAGTGCCACATAGTGCTTAGGTGAGGCTCCACCAATGTTGAATGCAGCCGGACACCTCCTCTCTGACAGGCTGGTTCTGCTGTGATTGATGCACCCCAGGGTGCTGTTTGTCCTCTGGGTACCAGGGCCCAGCGCTGGCTTCTACTGACCCTGCTGACACCAGCATCCAGGTCCCTTCCTGCAGGGCTGCCCTCCGGCCACTCCTCTCCCAGGTTAGATTTGTGCCTGGTGTTACTCCATCCTAAATGGCATTTGTTGTTTTTCCTTTTCATGCTGTTGATGGTTGCCCAGTGCTCCCATCTATCTATATCTCTCTGCAAGGCTTCTTGGCCCTTGAGAGAGTCAACAGCAACTCCCATTTGTGATGTCTGGCTCTTCACCCAGCACACTATGAACCTGCTCATCCCACCTGGACACCTGATCCAGAACGATGCTGTGAAGGACAGTATCAAAATCCTTGCAAAAATCCAGAAAAATACATGTACCGCCTCCCCTGCACCCCACAGGCGGTCGGGTGACCTTATTGTAGACAGATACCAGGTTACTTCAACAGGACTTGCCCTTGATGAACCTGTCCCTGATGGAGACTTTCCCTTTTAAACACCTTTCACCAGCTCCACCCCTCCACCAGCACGGGTCGCTGTGCTGCTCGGCTCCGCGGGCGGACACCTCGGGACACGGCACCGTGCCGCGGCATTTACCGGGCCGACAACAGGCTCCGGTGGGGGGTCCCGGTGCCCATCGGTGAGTGGCGGGGCCCTGGTGTGGGGGCGTGTCCATGCAAACGAGCACCGCGAGGCATCACGGGACAGCCGCGACGCCAAACAGCCCCCGTGGGCTCGGGCGTGCGAGGGTTCTGGGCAGGTGCGCGGTGCGGTCGCGGTGGCAACTGGGTGCGGGATGGGGCTCGTCCCGGTAGCGCGGCGTGCGGTGTCCGTGAGGTGTGTGTGTGTTGTGCGGCGTGCGGCGGTGGGTGCGCGAAGGGCAGTCATACTTACCTGGCAGGGGAGACACCATGATCAAGCCGGTGGTTTTCCCAGGGCGAGGCTCATGCCTTGCACTCCGGGTGTGCTGACCCCTGCGATTTCCCCAAATGCGGGAAACTCGACTGCATAATTTGTGGTAGTGGGGGACTGCGTTCGCGCTCTCCCCTGGCTTACAAGTTTGAAAGAAAGATTTGTCTGCAGTAACGCAACGCGATGATGCGTCTATATCGTAGCGTTATTTCATTCCCTGGGGCTGCTGCTTTATTTCCACGCTGCTGCTCGGCTCCTCCGCGGTACCCTCCTGCAGGTCCTGTTAGTGCCTGGAACCGGGGAGGGGGCCAGCCCTGCCCTGGCGGGATCTAAGCGCACTGTGGTGAATGTGAGGGGTAGCCCGAGCCCTTCGCTGCCCACAGTCAATGGAGCGTCCCCACAGCTGAGCTGTGATGGCCTGGAGCCAGATTCGCTTCTCTTACCTCTCCCTCAGAGCTCTTGAGCAGAGTCGAGATCAGCCCAGGTTCTCCTGAGGAAAAGCGTCTCCAGCTCTGCCGTGGTGAACACAAAGAGTCCGTATGGATGTGGAGCGGTGCGTGCAGACCCAGCAAATGGAGAGGAGACAATAGAAAAGCTGTTGAAAGCAGCTAATGACGTCTCAAGTTCCTCCCTTGGGGGATATGGTGGCCAATTCCAGTGGGGAGTCCAGATGAAACCTTCTGGGCATCATAGAATCACAGAACGGTTTGGGGTGGAAGCAACCTTAAAGCTCATCCAGTTCCAACTCCCCTGCCATGGGCAGGGACACCTTCCACTAGACCAGGTTGCTCCAGGACGGGGCTTTGTCCAACCTGGGCTTGAACATTGCCACAGATGTGGCAGCCACAGATGGGGCAGCCAGAGCTTCTCTGGGCAGCCTGTGCCAGGCACCTCCCTCAACAGGGAAGAATTTCTTCCAAAGATTTCATCAAAATCTCTCCTCAGTCAATTTAATGTCATTCTCCCTTGTCCTATCTCTACAGGCCCTTATCCAAAGCCCCCTCCAGGTTTCTTGTAGCCCCTTTAGGCACTGGAAGCTGCTCTAAGGTCTCCCCTTAAGGAGCCTTCTCCATGCTGAACAAGCCCAGCTCTCTACAGCTGGGCTTGTTCTCTCAGTCTCCATAGCAGAAGTACTCCAACCCTCAGAGAATCTTGTGGTCTCCTCTGGACTTGCTCCAACAGGCACATGTCCTTATATTGGCATAGGGGACACACAAGGTGACTGAAGCTCTGAAGCTACTCCTGTCCCATCTGGCTGGGGCCAAGCTTGGCCACTGCCTCCTCAGTCGTGCTTTGATGCAGACCCTGCAGCACTGCCACCCAGGAGGCCATTGTCCCGTTGAGGCCACATGAGCTGGGAGGATCCTGCTACCCTTGGCCCCATCTCATGTCAGGGGGAACTGTCCCCTTCAGAAAGGAACTTATGCAGTGACCAGCCCATCAACTCCCACCTCTCCTGCGATTTGTCAGTGAACCCAGCCTGGTTCTGGAGGGGTCAAACTGCTCACACAGAAGGACTTCCCTCAAAGTGCCTTGAAGCACGGAAATCCTGGGAGGATGCAGGACCACAGGGGGCTGGGTGGGAACAGAGCAGTATGAGACAAAGGTAGGAACTACCCACAGGGAACAGACTGTCTGGTTTCTCATGTGGCAGGTCCGGAGGTCTGTGGAAGCATCCCATACCCAATTCCCCCCACCCCGGGCAGAGATGCAACTCAGGACTTGGGCCAGTTTCAACCCATGAAGTGTAGCAGCAAACATGGCTGCGAATATAGGATCACAGAATTGTAGGTTTGGGTTGGAAAGGACCTTAGGATCGTTTAGTTCCAACCTCCCTGCCAAGGATGAGGAGGGACATCTCACACGCACACCATGTTGCCCAAGGCTCTGTCCAACCTGGCCTTAAAATACTGGCAGGGATGGAGCATTCGCCACTTCTTTGAGCAACCTGTGCCAGTGCCTCACCACCTGCACAGTAAAGAACTTCCTTACACCTAACCCATTACCCTTTGTACTATCGCTACAGTCCCTCCCTGGCGCGGGGAATGCTGCACAAGAAGCTGCGCCAACAGACCTGAATGAGAGCACGAACATCCCAACCCTCATCAGCTGCAAATCATGGGAGTCAAGAGGAGTTGAAGTTAGAACACCGAGATAATCCCCGAGAACTGTAGACATTGAAACAAAGAAGTTACTGAAGACAAAGATGTAATGTTGTACCAGAGCCGATCCGATCGTATTATCTCCTTACGCCTTCCACTACACAATCAGCAACATGCTGTTCTTTTCAGCATATATGCTCCAACTCTTCAAGCTGACTCTGCAGAAAAAGACAAATTCTACACTGACCTGCGTAGCCTCACTCAAAAGGTTCCTATAGATGATAAGATCATAATCCTTGGTGACTTCAGTGCCTGAGTAGGTAAGAACTTTGAAGCCTGGAAAGGAGTACTAGGCAAGCACGGTGTTGGTAGCTGCAATGATAATGGACGCCTCTTGCTAGAGTTTTGTGCAGAGCAGCAGCTTATCATCACCAACACTATTTTCCAGCAGAAAGACAGCGTGAAGACAACCTGGATGCACCCGCAATCTAAATATTGGCACCTTATTGATTATCTCTTAGTGCACCAGAGAAATGTTTGTGATGCCTGTCACACCCGAGTGATGCCTAGTGCAGAATGTCAAACAGACCACTGCCTTGTGCGTTGCAAACTTAACCTCCACCTTAAGCCC